ATTTTCAAAATCCACAAAAACCCTGAATAGCAAAAGCAATTTTGAGCAAAAAGAACAAAGTTATTCTTTGTAGGCATTATATGACCTAACTTCAAAATATATTAAAAAGCTACAACAACTGAACAGCATGGTACTGGCATAGATCAATGAAGAGAATAGAAATTCCAAAAATATATCTGCACATTTACGATCACCTTGTTTTCTAGAAAGATGCCAAGAACACTAAATGGAGAAAGGACCCACTCTTTGATAAAGGCTCATGGGAATACTGAATAACAACATGCAGAAGTATGAATTAGACGCTTATCTTCTACTATATACTAAAATATATTAAAATTTAGATATCAGACCTGAAACTTTGAAACTACTATTATTAGAAAACTTATGGGAACCTTCCCATGGCATTGATCTGGGGAAGGATATTTTGGATAAGACCTCAAAAGTGCAAGCAACAAAAGCAAAAATGGACAAATGGGGTTAGGTCAAACTAAAATGCTTTTAATAGCAAAGGAAACAATCAAAAGAGGGAAGAAACCTACTGAATGGGAGAGTATGTTTTAAAACTTTATATCTGGTAAGAGGTTAATATCCAAAATAATAAGACAATCAACTCAATAGCAAGGAAACAAATAACCCAAATTTAAAATGGTCCAATCACCTCGACAGACATTTCTCAAAAGAAGCCATACAAATGGTCAACATTACTAGTCATTGGGGAAATGCAATCCAAGTGGTAAATGTGATACTACCCCATTCCAAATAGAATGGTTATTATCCAAAAGTCATAAGATAAAAAACATGTTGAGAAAAAGGAACAATAATACACTGTTGTTAGGAATGTAAATCAGTATAACCATTACAGAATGCAGTATGAAGGTACCTCAATGATCCAGCAATGTCCCTACCAGGTATATATATCCAAAAGAAATGAAATCAATGTGAAGGAGATACCTGCCAAGCCAACATGGGAATCAACCTACGTGTCCATCAGTGAATGAGTGGATAAAGAAAATGTGGTAATTATGCACAATGGAATACTAAGCAGTCTTTAAAAGAATGTTATCCTGTCATTGTGACAGCATGGATGGAAATGAAGATCAGTATGTTTAGTGACAGAATTTAAAAGATGTCTTGAGAATATTCTTTTGCAGGTAAGGGATGGAGGCCTACTGCATACAATAAAGTTATCTTCAGTTAAAGATCTTTCCTAAAGTTTATTTTCTGTATTTCCATTACCACATTTAACACAAAAACATTTAAAAATGTTAATAGCAAGTATTATGGTTTAGATATAAGGGGTACCCTGTCTAAACCATGTGTGAGACAATGCAAGAAATGATTATGAGAGTTGTGCTCTACTCAGTGGATTAATCCATTGATATGGGTTAACAGGGTGGTAACTGTAGTATGCAGGGTGTGGCTGGAGGAAGTAGGTCACTGGGGGTGGGTATGCCTTTGGGGTTTATATTTTGCAGAGCTCTCTCTCTTCCTGCTTGCCCTGTTCTGAGCTGCTTTCCTCCACCACGCCTTTACACCATGGTGTTCCGCCTCATCTCAGGCCCGGAGCAGTGGAGTTGGCCAACCAGGGACAGAACCTCGAAAGCCATGAGCCCAAATTAACTTTTCCTCCTGCCCGGATCCTGCCCCAGCAAGATCCAGGGAGTCCTGAAGGAAGAGTGGTGTCGGCAAAAGCAGCAAGACAAAGTCCCGTGGTGGTTGCAACTTCAGGCAGTCTTCAGAAAGATCTGCTGCTCCCTGCAGAGCCTTTTATTCTTAAATACACCTTTTCAGATAGACTTACATATTTTCCTTTTAGCATGCCTTCTACTTTTACATGGAACATAGACCACGCTTCTACTTTTGCTTTTCCTTTTGATCTTTTACTAAGCTATGATTAACCTTTTGAGCTGTTTCTTTGTTCCTTGGTCAAGGTACACCAATTCTTGAACCTTTCTAACCTCTGACTAAAGGGCAGATTGCACGTCAGTCGGTTCTCCATTTACATTAACTATATGTCTTCCATTTTCTTCATAGATCCCCAGTCAATGGCGAGGGAGGGTCTGTCGGTGAGGAGAATGTATTCTTATTAGCTTCCCTGCCCCTAGGAGGATACCGGAGTCTTCCTTTAATTAAATAAGCTATAAATGGCGGGCCTTGCACTGTGGGCACAACAATTCTTTTCCTGTGATTAGGCTTATGCACAGGTTGCACTTTTGGATGAGGAGACCTAGCAGAAAATGTCAACTGTGGAGCAAAGAGTTCTGTAATCTAAGCCTTCCCCAGAAATCCTGGTCTGGAACTATGTATTTGTGTTTACTTATATTCTTGGTAATGTTAGTCTTAAAACGAATCTCAGGACATTTTTTTGTCATGTTCTTAGTCTCATTCTGGGAAAGTTCCCGTACATTGTAACAACGTATGTTTTTAGTTTGGATTGACGTGCTTCCTGTTAACCACATTAATATTCCCAGGATCAGGGCAGCCATGGCACCCCATAATTTTGGTTTCCAGATGTGTCAGCCCTGCCACAACACCCCCCATGGTGACCTGGTCAGACAGCAGGGGCAGGAACACCTCACATCCTCCTCTATGTCAGGGTTTTTTTGGTCACAGTGGCTCGAAGCTGACTAAAACACCAAGTATCTTTAGCTTGTTCACAATATCAGAGGGCAGACCATAGTAATTCAGTATTAATTATGGTGAATGTTGGACATGTTTTCTTTTCATTAGCTTAAGAAATTTCAAATCGATTCCTGTTCTGTTTGTGTTTTCTGTATGTATGTTTGTAAATCAGACTCCTGTGTTGAATTTAATCAGAGAGTGTGATCCAGACTGCAGACACCTCGGACACAGTATCTGTCCTCTTGTATCCGGCCTATTTCATCAGCCTAGCGTCTTCAGTTTGCCTGTGCTGCAGCATCTGGAAGGATTTCTTTCCTTTTTCAGGCTGAACGATCCTTATCATGCATGTTTTGCCATCAGTGTTTGCTGGCCTCATGCAACATGAGGATTGATGTTACATCTTCTTCAGCGTTTGCTAGATTTTATTGAGGAAGCTATTCAAGACCTGGAACTCTTTTTTTTTTTTTAAACAAAGTTACTTTTAATTATGATTATGATTTCTTTTTAAGAAGCTGCAGTTCTATGTAGATATTAAGTCAGTAAGTTCTTCTTAAGTCAGTTTTGAAAAAGGGTCTTTCTACAAAAACATTTCTATTTCATCTAAAAATTTAACATTCTTATTTGTAGTGACTCTGTGTGTCATTTCATTCCAGATACTGCTATAATCTGTCTTCAAAATTTTTCTCCATCTTGAACATGTTTTTGAATTTGATTGGTTTTCCCAAATAAATAAGATTGAACTTCTTTATTCTCAATATTGTAGATATCTACTAACTTTTTGTTTTTCAATTATTTTCTAATTTCAATCACTTTTTAAAATCTAATATGCTTTTCCATTAACAACTTCAAGTGGCTTAGATTTCCTCTAAGCAAGACCTAGCTAGCTAGCTACACAGCGAAAATTTTTTTCTATAACATTTTTATAGAATACAGTTCAAAGTATGTTTAAAGTTACATTGAATGTACTTATTGACATATGGATTATTTAGAAATGTATTGCTTATTTCAAATACTTGAAGATTATTGCATTTTATAATATGTTTATCTTACATTTAGAGAACATAATCTGAGATATTTCAGTCCTGAAAAATTAAGACTTGTTTTATTTCCAAGCACACCAATAAATGATTCATACGTGTATTGTATATATTTTGCAGTTGTGGCCAAGCCCGGTCTTCTATATATCAAGTAGACCATTTCTGTTTAATTATATTTAAATCCCTTACTAAATTGGATAATTTCTTTTCTTTTGGTCTTGTCAATCCTTGTTTCATATATGTTGAAGTTATATGAAAAGTCATAGAGGCTGGAGATGTAGTTCAGGGTGGAGTTAGGCCCTGGTCTCAAACCTGGCACTGCTTTTTAAAAAGTATTAAATTATCATGATTTTTATTATTACACCTTCTTCTCAGATTGACCTTTTGCATTAGGATACATTCTCCTTATATCACTGTGAATGCTTTTGGTGTTAAACTTTCTTTTGTATAAAGTTCCTATGGTATACACTCTTCCATCCTTTACTTTGAACCTTTATATATCTGAAAATGTGTCTTTTGTAAGCAGTATAAAGATGACAATTTTTTCCAAATCTTAAGATCATTGTCTTTTTGTATTGGTTATAAATTGGCAGAGTATAATGTAACAACACACTCAGTGCGATTTATAACATAGAAGTGGTCTTTAATAATGGCATCACATTTATTATGTTATAACCTTTCCTATAACATACCTTTTGGCTAACAGAAGTAGTGTGAGATAACTTATAATTAGAAAAATAATATAAAATCCATAATCATTCATTTCTTGCAAATGAATTGTCTGTGGAATTGTACATATTTACAGTCAATGTGAAAACGCTTCTGTTCAGATGAAAATCATAATATGCAGGTTTTGAGTTTGAAGAAATCAGGTGATGCCTGTTTTTTTCTTTTTCATTTTCCCCTCCCTGTTCAATGAAGATAATTGCTCTGAAAGAATGAGTAAAGAATAAAAAGTCACTTGTTTGGCCAAGGAAATTAATGATACCGGATGTAGTTAAGGGCAGAAAAGTACTCTAATCAGGAAGTAGACTTCAAACATACCCTTTAATCAACATTTGCAATCCACAGAAGCTAAAGGAATAACCTAATTTAAAAAGTAATTAAAAATATAATTCTGCAAGAAATTTTAAATAACTTGCAAATATCATTTATAACAACATATCAATGATGTAATTTAAAGTATCAAAAACTATTCTTCAGTTTAGTTATATGTGGTTATACAACTATTGCTATTTAATATATATTTTATTATACATATTTATCTAATACATTTCTCTGTCTCTCTCCCTTGAAGTATCTGAAACTTACTGTGATATCATGATATCCTTGTTGTCCACACTACTCTTTGGATTCAGTCTCGCTTTCAAGCTGCCTATGTATTTAAAAAGGAAAACAAACATCCCTTAAAATTTCATTTTATTTTCTTCAAAACTCTGTCTTGAAACAGTTTTGAATTCCTACCTGCTAGCTGGGTTTCCAAACTGAGAACACTCCTCACCTGGTAATCAATGAAACTAGCAATGAAACTCTCTCCCCACCCACATAAAAGAAAAGGATCAGTGATATAAGGTTATTTGAAAATAAACTCAAGAAAGATTGTTTTTATATTCATATTATTATTAGCTAAATATTAGTAAGCCTTATTTTTTTCACCATGCATCCTTAGCCCTATTTATTTCTATCAAATTTATTAGCTTACAATTTCTTCAGTTATTTGACATTAATATTTTCACAATAGTTACCCCAAGTAAAAATAACTTTGATATATTTAGATAACTGCATTATAACTAGCTACATGTTCTTTCTGCAATGTCAACATATTTCCATGAAGTATATTCTATTTATTTCATTGTATTAATTTAATTAAATTGTTTATGAAATTCAATTTGGACAAAATTAACTACATCTCAATTTATGTACAAAAAAAGCTAAAAGTGCAAACAGGGACTGTCCTGGTCTTCCTTATTACCATTTATCAAAATAAAATATAAAAATTCTTTGAAATATACAAATACTAAAAAGTAAAGTATTGCTGTTTACTATATATTTAATAATTAAGATCAAAATGACAAAAGGAGGTAGATAAACTAATTAGAAATCATTTCCTTTTAATTTTGCCCCTAAAAGAGTTCAAGCTTTTGTAAGATTAAAATTGCCGGCCTTTTTAAAATCATTGTTGATTCTTTATTACATTAATCACGAATAGATTAAGTACTATCTTTCCATGTAAAGACAAGTTAAATCTTAATTATTACTAATCCGTCTATCATGATGTGATTAATAAGATATTATGCTAATGAATAATCTAAGTAACAAAGCAAATATGAAATCAACATACTCATCACTTGTATAGTCTTCAGATTTCCATTTTTTCCTTTGGAAATGAACTTTTACCAGCATACCAATCAGTACACAGAGAATCACGAAGAAAGGAATAACTAAGAAAAACGGCCATCTTGAAGTTCTGGACTCGTAATAAGTACGCTCAATAAAGCGCCTTTCTAGGAGAGAAGGGCACAGTTAGAAGGCAATCGCCAGAAATTGAGTAAGAGTACTTCTGTATTTTACTATGACTACTAGAATAAAAATTTAAACTATTTAATAATTACAATTAGCATTTTTTTATATAGAGTAAGTAGCCTAACAACATAAGTAGAAGCTCTTTTGATGCTCACATAATAGTCCTGTTTCTTGCTTTTTTTATTGAGAACCTTCGATTCCTGGTAGTCTCTAATACCATAGATGAAAAGAATTAAAGTGTGGTCCCTAGAAGAATTGAATTTTTTCTTGGCCTTTATTTCGAACAAAAAATACCACACATATAACATTTGGATTAAGTTAAATTGTCTTTTATTGCACTGATATATATTTTCATGTCTTATATAGGAAATTATCATTTATTTTGATTTTGAAGGAATTCTCATACCTCCTTCTAGAATCATCTACACATAAATCTGCACATAAATGAATTCATCTTTCCTAATCTTTCTGTTCCTTCTTTCTTATAGGCTGGGACCTATAAATATTGAATAGTCATGGTAAATGCTGACTTTACTGCTTTGCTCCCAATTTTATGGGAAAACTGTAGGATACAAGTTTTTTTGTTGTTGATGTTCTTTTATCAGATTAAAGTGGTTGTCTTCTGTTGGTTTGCTCTCTTTTGAGGGGATACTTTTCTTTTTTGTGCACTGGAGATAGAGCTAATTTGATGCTTTTTTAAAAGATTCAATATTTTTTAAAAAATATATTTTTAGTTATATATGGACACAATACCTTTATTTATTTGTTTTTATTTTTATGTGGTGCCAAGGATCAAACCCAGTGCCTCACACATGCTAGGCAAGTGTTCTACCACTGAGCCACAACCCCAGCCCCAAAAGATTCAATCTTGTCAATGATTTTTTTTTTGCACCAAACTAGACAATTGTATTTTTTATTGTTTTGATATGGTGAATGATAAATGTGAGTCATTCCCAGAAAACACTTAGAAGGCCTTTTGTTTAGGTAAAGGGACTTGTACCAGATGTCAACATAAGTTTTTCTGAAGTTTTAACAGAGAGGATTATAGTCAAATGCTTGACATTTTTTTTAATCCGAGATAAAATTTTATTTTGCAAAAATCTCAAATTTGGCCTTTAGCCATTTCTTTTTTTTAAATATATTTTTTAGTTGTAGTTGGACATAATATCTTTATTTATTTTTATGTGGTGCTGAGGATCAAATCCAGTGCCTCACAAGTGCAAGGCAGGCGCTACCAATGAGCTACAGCCCCAGTCCTAGCCATTTATTTCTTTAAGAAGCTTTTGATTGAAAAGACCTGGAATGAAAATTAATTTTATTTTTAATCCCATTCCCTAAAAAAAATCCAGATTCTCAATATTTGCCCTGCATTTTACTTCTCATCAATAGGAAGGCTGAATTCTATTTTCTCCATCACCACAAGCAGCAGTGATGACACATAATTCATCACTTTATAATAATGTGTCACTTCTTCCAACTGCTAACTAAGGCCATGTGTGTTGGGTTCTTGTTACAGAAATATACTACACCGGGTATTAATTCTTTCTGCTAGATATTGCTGTATAAGAAACTACCTCGAAGCTTGATTACTTATAGCAGCCATTTAATTTTTCTCACAATTTCGTGGGTTATGAATTTAGGGGGTGCTGAGTTGAGTGGTTGTATTTTTGTGTCTCAGTGCCGTTAAAGTTCATACAGTGCAGATGATTTTCAAAAGAATAAGTGTGTCAGGAATGAGAGTTCCAAGACTGAATATTTTTAAAAATTCAGAATCTGCAGGAAGACCATGGGAGACCCAGAATGTCAGTTCTATGGACTGGATTGATCAGTTATACCATTAACACCACCCTGGATTCTAGGAAAGTAATCTTCACTGCATATTGGGTAAATGGCTTGTGTGCTCATAAGCAGAAGCCAGTAATTGCAACTAATTGTTACTAAGATGGAAAAAGTTTCATGTTTCCAATTTGTCAGCCTATTCCTATGTGGAATGAAATGTAGAAATGTTAACAAAAATCAGGAAGAATCCTGTCTAATCATCTGTAAATTTAAGTGTTTATATAAAGTAAATCAAGTCTCCTGACCCTCGGTGCTATTGGATATGTTGGTCACTGCTGGCCTTCTCTAAAATCCATCCTGGTCGTGCCTTTGCTTTGATCAACACTGCAGAGGACTGCATTTCCCAAGACCCTGACCTGCTGTCTTCTAGTTAGGACCGTTCAGTGGGGATCACTGGATGATTTACAGGATCAAAAGAGAATGAGGCAACCATGGTATTTCTCCTCCTTCCTCCCTGTGACTCCTTTAACCTCTGAAGGCCCACGTCCTCCCATCCAGCCCTGACACCACAGGCCTGCTGCAGCTTCCTGGCTGCTTCTGGCAATTTCATTCCCATTGACTGTCCTTCCTGCCCCAAGGAGTGGGCGTGGCTCTCTGGTGGTGTTGACACCTGGGTGGCTCCACCCTTCTCTGGGTCAGCTTTTCATCTTTGCCATGGCGTTACCTTAGGCCTCAAGTTAAAGTCCCTCCACTGGAAAAACCACAGTGACTCCTCTGACACCCTCAGAAGTAAAATATAAATGACATAGGTGGTTTATTGTTTGATGTCCACTCACAATCTAGATATAAATTGGTGTACCAAAGATGGCTGTTCACTTAATTAAACTTCATAAATTAAAATGACACTTGAATCATGTTTGCAATTTCTTATTCATACTCACCAGTGGCAGCAGTAGTATTTTCATGATTGCCACTGTCAATGCTCCCCCCTCCTGAGCCTTCCTTTTCTTCTTGGCATTGAGGAGGTACAAAATCAGCATTACAGTGACAGTTTCTTTTGTTATTGCATACCTGAAAGTAGGAAAATATTACCTAATAAGAAAAGCAGATAGATTTATATGTGTTCAACTAGGTTCATAAAAGGTTACCTCAGGCTGATTTTCCTGTTGGCTTATGGGTATCTGAGTGTGTGTGTGTGTGTGTGTGTGTGTTGAGGAGCATTTGCTTTCTTGGGATAGTATAAATGATTTCTATTCTTACCTCATAGCATTGGTACTGGTACTTACACCTTGATTGTTGCAAGTTTCTGGTGTGCAGTCATAATTCAGGTATGAATTGTCTACACATTCCTTCTCCTTGCACACCTAAAGTGGAAAGTCAAAGGTGATATGCCACCTGGATTTACCATTTAATCTAAAGCACTCCACTATACTGAGATTAAAGACTTCCACAAAATATCACCCCACCCCAGTTTGAAATACTATTACTAAAAAGATAAAAAGTAACAAATACTGGCAAGGATGTGAAGAAAAGGGAACTCCTACACATTACTGGTGATGTAAAGTAGTGTGGCCATTATGAAAAGCAATATGGAGGAGAAGGAGGAGGAGGAAGAGAAGAAAAACAAACAAACAAACAAATAAACTAGAACTACCGTAGTATCCAACAATTCTACTCCTGGGTACTTGTCCAAAGGAAATGAAATCAATACATTGAAGAGACAACTGTGCTTTCCTGCCTACTGTAGCACTACTCACAACAGCCAAGAGAGTCAACTTAAATGCCCCTCAACAGATGAACAGATAAACAAAAGCGATTCATACATATGAATACTATTCATCCATAGAAATATGAAACCAAAACCTTATTTTGGTGAAAACATGGATAAGCCTGGAAAAGATTAGATTAAGTGAAATAAGGCACCTTCAGAAGGATAAATACTGCAATCACACATGAATCTGAAAAGGTTAAATAAAAGTTAAGAATAGAATACCAGAGGCTGGAGATAATATGGGGGAAGGTGAGATGGAGAGAGATTGGTCAACAGGTACAACGTTATGGTTAGAAAGGAGGAAAAAGTTCTAGCACTTACTGCTAACAACAGCTCATTATATACTTCAAATAGAAGATTTTTTAATATTCTTTAATGATAAAAGTTTAATGTGATAAATGTGTTAATTACTCTGATTTGATCATTACATAAGCATATACATATTTAAAAAATGAGCAAGTATAAAAAAAGCATTATTGTAATTGTTATTTGCAACTCCATTTTTTATTTTCTATGAGATATAAAAAACAAATGTATAAAAATAATTATAAATCTGTTAATAGGCACACACAGTATAGAAGGATGGGATATTTTGACATGAAAAATGAGCAGAGGGTGAAAATGTAAAGGAGTGGAGATTTTGTATGTGACTGATGTTACTTTGTTGACAATCCAAAATAGATTGTTATAATTTGGGAGATATTGTTTTATATCTTTTAAATCACAAAGAAAATATCTATGGAAACCGTGTCAAAGGAAAAAAGAAGGAAATCAAAATGTCCTGTTACAAAACATCAATTAACACAAAAGAAGGCAGTACTAGAAGAAATGAGAGACAAAAAGTAACAGAAAACATAAAACATCAACGAAAGTGGCACAAACACATTCTCTGTCAGTGACTACATTAATGGTAATGGATTAAATTCTCCAATCTAATGGCATGGATTGGCAGAGCACATAAATCATGGCCATGCTGAGGACCATCTGCAGGAGACTAACTGGGTCTCTAAGACACGAACAGGTGGGAAATGAAAAAGATATTCCAGGCAAATAGTAACCGAAAGAGAACAAGCATGGGCAGAATATCAAAAAAGTACTTAAATCAAGCACTATTACAAGAGATAGAGAAGGACAATCTATATGGACAAAGGTCAGTTTATCAGGAAAACTTAACGAATCAATAAAGAAAATGTGGTATAAAAAAAAAAAAAGAAAATGGAATGCTGTTCACCCTTACAAAGTACATGTATGAAGACTTGAATTGGGTGTTTGGGTGTCAACATACCTTACTTACAGAGATATGAAAAATTGTGGTATGTATGTGCATTAAAATTGTAATGTAAAAAAAGTACATGTATAATGGCGTAAATTAGTGTGAACATACTTTATATACAGAGATATGAAAAATTGTGCTCTATATGTGTAATAAGAATTGTAATGCATTTCACTGTTGTCGTGTATTTAAAAAATAATAATAAAATTTAAAAAAGAAATCAAAGGTAAAGGATCTCACCCATGAGAATTTGACTTACTATTTATTAGATCAAATTTGCCTTTTGTAAAAAAAAAAAAAAAAGAATCAATGAAATTCTGATACATGCTACAAACACACGTGAACCTGGAAAGTGTTATGCAGGTGAAATAAGCCAGACCATACGTACCTTGTATGGTTCTACTTGCAGGAGGTACCTAGAATATTTAAATTCAGAGAGTAAGAAAGTGTAACGGTGGTGAGCAGCGTCTCTGAAGAAGACGATTTAATGAATTGGACAGGATGACGAGAAGTCTCTAGCAATGGAGCACGCACTGATGTTCCTGAACTCTAAACTCAAACAGGATTGCAGTGACAAAGTTTATGCTGTCCATATTTTACCACAGAGATAGTTGGCAGGCCATGTTCAGCTTTGTAGATGAAGTGGTGAAATCGCTCAACTCAAGGTATGAGAATAATACATATTACCACCCCCATCAGCCAAGAATGTCTCTAAGTGTAACCTATTCAATTATTCAGCAGATGAAGAGAGTGCATTCTGGACACAGTGTTTCCATGCCTGAGAGGGTAGGAGGTGAAGCAGAACACTTACAGAATACACACAATATAGGGGTTAGCAGAATAGAGAGCCCAGGAATAAACCTAAGCATGCATGCTCAATGGATTTTGGACAAAGCCATGAAGAAGACACAATGAGGAGAGAATGTTGTCTTCAGTAAGTGGTGCTGGGAAAACTATATCCACATGCAGAAGAATCCGACTGGACCCCTTTCTTACACCATACACAAAAGCAAGCTCAAAATGAAACCATAAAACTTCCAGAAGAAAACATAGGGAAACTTCCTTGGTATTGGCCTGGTAATTAGCTTTTGAATATTACATTCACAATACAGCAACAACAGCAAAAATCAACAAGAGAAACTAAAGAGTTTCTGCAAAGCAAAAGATACAATTAACAAAATGGAAAGGCAATCAATCTGAGGCTTGAGAGAAAAAATTTGCAAGCTGTATATCTTATAAAAGGTTAATATCCAAAATATGTAAGGAATTCATGCAACACAGTGGCAAAATACATATTTATAGTAATTTGATTGAAATGGGCAAAGGGACAAAAAAATATTTCTCAAAGAAGATATACAAGTGGCTAACAGGTATATAGTTCTTGGTCTAATCATCAGGGAGATGCAAAACAAAGCCACGATAACATATCAACTCACTTATTAGGATGCTCATCATCGAAAGATGAGAGAAATACGTTGGCAAGGACGAGGACAAAGGGGGACCTTATTCCCTGTTGGTGTGAGTGTGAGTTAACAACAGACACTATGGAAAACTGTATGGAGATCCTTCAAAACACCCAAACTGGAACTACTGTATGAATCAGCAAACCCACTCCAGAGCACATACCCAAGGAAATGAAATGAGCACTCCCGTGTTCATTGCCCATGTGTCACAACAGCCAAACAAACTGGGAGCCCATCAACAGATTTTAAATGTATCAAATCTATCTGGATTCATTTATTCATCTTGTGTTTCATTCATAGTTAATCACTTTAACTTTTGAAATCTTTATTTAAGGTTCATAACACACCGCTTTGATGGACAGCATTTGATGTGTTTCTTTTGGAAAACAAAATTGTGGTATTTATCTACCTTCCATCTATCTACAAAATGGGATATTTTTCAGCCTTGAAAAGAAAATGCTGAATGAACTTACAGAGCATTATGCTGAGTGAAATAAGGCAGACACGGAAAGACAAATACTGCAAGATGTCACTTATGTGTGGGAATAAAAAAGAAAAACTCAAATACCTGGAAATGGAGGGCAAGAGGGAGGTTACTAGGTGTGAGGAGGAGGAGATGGAGAGAAGTAGTTAAAGGTACAAACTCGCAGTTATATAGGATAAGTCTAGAGCTCTAATGGACAGCACAAGGATTGTTGTTCTAATATTATACACTAAAACTTGCTAAAAGATCAGACTTCAGGTGCTCATAACTAACACACACACACACACACACACGCACATACAGGTAGCTGAGAAAGTGGTGGACAGGTTAATCAGTTTATTTCTAGTAATCATTTCACTATGTACATGTATATCACCTGTCATGTTGTACACCTTAAATATCTATGACAAAATTTTTCAATAAAAGTTAGAAATTTAAAAAGGGATTAACTATGAATAAAACACAGGATGAATCAGCCAAGATAGCCATTATTCCATGATATATGAAATATATATATATATATAAAACAATTTCATCATAATATAAAATAGTATTCATAATAATATGAAATTTATTTTTCACAATAAGAGACTTTTTTTTTTTACAAAACACATAAATGTCACAGAATACATTTTCAATTAGAAATCTATTATTTGCAAAATACAACTAATGGGATAGTCTCTGGGGACACGGTGATAAACGCCCTACACTTTTGACCTTTAGCATGGATTCCAGCGGGGGCTCTCTGTGACAGGGTGGGTGTGGTGTTGCAGATGCAGCCAGTGCACTTCCACCTGCTCAGCTCCTGGCAGCAGTGTGACATGCCACTTGCCTACATCTTCTGGCTTTGTTCTTTTACATGAGTGCACAAATGCTTTCCCGTTAGGAATCTGAAACCAGTCACTATTTCCGGGGCTGAGGACTGAACCCAGGCCCGCGTGCATCTAGGCAAGTGCTCTGCCACTGAACTCAGCTACATCCCCATGTTTCCCCTCCTTGATGATAATTTTTAGAGGCAAATAAAAAAATCATGTTGCACCAATTTTAAAGATAGTTTCACATTCTTCAGCTGTTAAATTTCTAAGTTGAGGGTGGGTAAAAAAAAAATCCCAAAGTGTTGAGGTGGTCTTACTTGTCATTAACTTGTCAGGGGCAATGTCATGTTCCTCATGGGGTCCCTGGTGGGGTCAGTCAGCCAGAGTGGGTGCCATATCATAAGACAGCAAGTGTGGGGGCTTTCTTGTTTCCATTCTATTCCTCTCTGACTTCTCCATTTGTCCCCTTTGATTCATGTATGGATGTTTCCCACCCTGGTCTGCCTCAAAAAATATGTTTATTAGAGCCTTATAGATAAGCAGAGTCGTCGGGTGGATCCTGACAAAGTTGAACACGCGTGGCATTTGATTTCGCGTCCCAGTTGGCATCGCCCCTTTTTTCCCTGCCCTCCTCCCTCCTCCCATTCTCCTTCCTCCGCTGGTCCTTCTTTCACTCATCTATTTATTGATTTTTGATTGGTGCTTTCCACGTGCACATAAAGGTGAAATTCCCCGTGGTATACCGACATCTGCACATAGCATGGTTTTTAAAAATTGATTCCTCCTATCCTCCCTCTTTCCCGTCCTTCCTCCTCCCTCGCTCTCATCCTTCTCTACGGATCTTCCCTGTGTCCTTATGATCTCTGGCCCTTCCCTTCTCCTTTCCCCTGTTTTCCTGTCATGGTTTGTGCTTATACTTTGTTTGTGAAGTTTCAGATCCTTTAACTACACATCTTTAACTACACATCTCTTGGTTACATTCCTTTTAGGAATAGCTACAAAGGAAGTGGTAATGTTCAAAATTTTTACCCTTATTCACTAGTACCCAAATCTCTTACCCTTTCTTTGCTGACAAGAGGAATTTAAAAATTTCTCATGATAATGTATTCATTCAAATCCAAATGAACATTCGCATATGAGCTATTCCAAAAACAATGAACACATAAAAATTGTCAAAGTACTCAAAGAGTAGCTGGCTTGATCATCATCCACTAACCAATAGCAGATACATGACATTTTTGCTCTTCCTCACTCATGTAGCCTAGAAATAATTTATGACTAAAGATAGTCTTGGGTTTTAATTCGGTAAGTGTTTTTGCAAAGTAAATTCCATGAAAGCAAAGGTAGTACAAAGTCTTAAAGATGATCTAGTTTTTGTGCAAGCACTTGGTGTTACAATTTTTTCTTTTGTATACTTTTTCTCCTTTCCAATTTTCTGAGCAAATATTTAGCAAAGTTAGGTTGTAATAGAACTATTTGTATGGAATATATTTCCTTAACTAAACGAAAAAAAGATCTATTTTGAATATGTATACATTCATAATGACAATTAATATGTGAAAAAATTCTTAGATTTCACTTATACTTGCTGACAACCAAAATGTGGAAAGTCATTTTCTTTTTCTTACTGTTTACTCACAAAAAATATCTTTCAGCTCCCAAGTATATTTTGGCTTTCCCTCTGTTCTTCAACAAGTGGTTTACTATATTCTGGCTTTATGATTTCAAATTTGCACATGAGACTAATTTGAACTTGAACCATCTTCTGTACCTATGTGTATGCATACAAGTATTCAATATTTCACAAAATGGGAAAATCTTGGAAGACAAGAAATGTCGACACAGAGCTCATGTGTTTGATAATGTTGAGTGATAAAATATCAAAAGCAGATAAAACAATGGAATATTTTATGAAAATACAAAGATATACTAGAGAAATAGTCTATTTATATATATGTATGTAGAAATGGAGGAAGGCTCATGAAAATGGAAAGCATGATTGTATTTCAGATATGTAACTTGTTTGCTTTATGAATTCTTTATTTTCATTATATTAATGGACATATATTATTTAAACAACTATTTAAAATCAATGATGTCACAAGATAGTTTATGACATTTGAAGTACTCTGTATAATATGAGATAATTTGGGGCTGGGGTTGTGGCTCAGTGGTAGAGTACTTGCCTAGCTTGCATGAGGTACTGGGTTCGATCCTTAGCACCACATTTAAAAAAAAACAAAACAACTAAATAAAAGTATTGTGTCCATCTACAACTAAAAAATTTTAAAAAACATGAGATAATTTAATAAAATACAGTGAATGAACAGTGTGATTCTTAATTCAGTGCATATGTGCAGCATCCGTAAGAAAAGTATAAAATCATTGGTGAAATATTATAGTAATATCATCTATGCATGGTGACAGATTGCAGTATTTTTTTATTTTCTAAATTTCTATTTTGATTGCACACTTAAATTCTGAGTAAAAATACTGTTTATCATGTAATAAAAATATTAGGAAGTTAGGAAGAAAAGAACACCAACCTTTTCTGCACCACAAACAGTTCCATCTTTTACCCACATGTTCTTTATTTCTGCATGACCCTTGTTATATTCCAAAGAAACACAGATGTCTCCAGTTATGTTGGCATAAATGGCAGTGGCATCTTTCAACTGAAGGATATGACTACCTCCATATTTACATATTAATTTTCCACATTTCCGATCCCTAGAATTTATCCACAAATGAAAAACATTAATTTTAATAGAGAAATATTTGAATGGCATTTCCAAAGTGAATAGATTTAAATAAAAATTCAAAATCTGCAAAAGGATGCAGGCAACAATTAATTTCGAACCCCCCCCCCAAAAAAAAAAACCACTAAAAACATGAATTCATTTTAATAATACGGAATAAGAAGCATTTGAAAAAACAAAACCTCAATGCAAAACTGAAAGCTCTCAATAAGCCAGAACTAGAAGGAAACTTCCTCAACCGAATAAGGAATGAAGGAAGAGTATCTGTAAAATCTCTGTAGCTAACGATAAACTTAAGAGTGAGAGGCTGAATATTTCCGCATAAAATCAGGAAGGAGCAAGCATATTCTCTTTTTCCACTTAAAATTGAACATTTTAATGGAGATCTAGAAAGTGCAATCAAGTTAGAAAGAAACTGAAGGCATAGCTGTTGGAAAATAATATGTACTTAGAAACTGACTTGCATATGATATGATACGAGATATAAAGACTAAGAAACTCACACACAGAAGAAAAAAGTTCAGGAAGGTCACACAATGCCAAAGATCAAGATTAATATAAAGGAGCCAAAGAAAGTCTAGTAGAGTGGGAGGAAAAGGGGAAAGGAGGAAGGGAGGGGAAAACGGGAGGGGAAAAGGTGGGGGCAAGGGGGAGGGAAAAGGGGGGATTTTGAACTGAAATCAATTTCCATGCCTGTGTGAGTTTGTTGGGATGAACCCAAATACTATATATAATCATAAAGCTCTAATAAAAAAGATCAATATAAAACATCATTTGTTAGGTAAAGGGACTGAATGGGTACTCACAGAAGAAGAAATACAAATGGTCAACAAATACATGAAAAGATGTTCAACATCTCTAGCAATGAGAGAAAGGCAAGTTATAACTACACTGAAATTCCATTTCACTGCACTCAAAATGGCAATTATCAAGAATACAAGTAACAATAAATGTTGGCAAGGATGTGGGGGAAAGGTACACTTATACATTGCTGGTGGGACTGAAAACTGGTGCAACCATTCTGGAAAGCAGTGTGGAGATTCCTCAGAGACTAGGAATGGAACCACCATTTGACCCAGTTATCTCACTCCTTGGTGTATACCCAAAGGACTCACACCCCCCCACTGGTATTTGGGGGCCAACAGAGGTGAGGCAAAGAACCTCACCTCCCACTGGTATTTGGGGGCCAACAGAGGTGAGGCAAAGAACCTCACCCCCCACTGGTGCAAAGGCCTATCCACAAGTATGGCTGTATGCTGGACCAGTAGTCAATGATGGGTAAGATCCAATTGCAATGGTACCAACCTAAGACAGGAGGCTGACGCCTTGAGGTCAGCTCATCTGATGATGGGTAAGGACCATATGTAGTATTGGACAACCTAAGACAGGCCTGGTCCTTAAGCCACATGCTTATTATTTAATTAAACAGAAGGGGGGAGATGTTGAGGGCCACAGCCTCAGGATGACACATGGCATTTTGCCAGAAGGGAGTGGTTGAGAGGTGACACCAGCGAGCCATTGAGATGATGACGGTTAAGTTAAGCTGTGTATTCAATTGTATATAGACCCCTGCTGTCCGCCTCAGGCACCCACTACTTTGGAGTTCTCGTGCGGGGATTCCATTCTCGCGGCGATTCCTGGGGAGCCTACTACAGTGACATGGCCACTTCAATGTTCATAGCAGCTTAATTCACAATAGCTAAACTATGGAACCAATCTAGGTGCCCTTCAACAGATGAATGGATAAAGAAAATGTGGTATATATACACAATGTAATATTAGCCATAAAGAAGAATGAAATTATGGCATTTGTTGGTAAATGGATGGAACCGGAGACTGTCATGATAAGTGAAATAAACCAGTCCCCCAAAACCAAACGCTGAATATTCTCTCTGATATGTGGATGCTAAACCATTACAAGGGAGGGGAAGTATAGAAGTTCTTCATTGGATTAGACAAAGGGGAATGGGGGGAAGGTACAGGGGAGGGAAATGGGAAAGACAGTAGAATAAATGGGACATCACTTTCCTATGTTCATATGTGAGTACACAACCAGTGCAACTCCACATCACGTACAATCGCAAGAATGGGATCCTAATTAGAACAAGTTATACTCCATGTCAAAATATACTCTAATGTACATCTAAAAAGAACAAATAAAAAAGTTTAAAAAGTAATAAAAACCATCATTTATAATTTTGTTATGACATTTACAGATCAGCAACAATGTGAAAATTAAATTTAGAAAACTATTGTGTTCATGATAGCCTTGAAAACACAGTATTTAGGGATGTATTTAGCAAAAGGAAGAGGCCCCTTGCACACAGATTCTAGTAAACTGGCAGAAAGAAAAAAAAAATTCAAAGACTAAAATAAATTAAGAGACATTCTAAATTCATTACTGGGAAAATTCAACAGTCCTAAGATGATGATTCATGGACCTTTCCTCATCCCTTACTATGAATTTCCGTAAAACAGATGAAACCTGAATAAATGGCATGAATTTGCCAATGTTCAATTTCCTGATTTTGATCTTGTACTGCAGATTTTTATGTCACGGCAGATGTTGCCATGTGGAAGCGAGCTGAAAGTTACAGGGATCCTCTCCATCACCCCTGCCGTGATTTCTACAACTGTGAATCTACAGTTACTTAAGAATAGAAAGATGCAAAGTAATGGTATGAAGTCCAAACCTGTGATACCAACTTCATGAGGATAAAACATTTAGTCGTGTTGCATGTGTTCAACAGGAAAATCAGATTCTTTAAAGAGTCATGTAAAGAAGGGAAGGAACAGTATTATCAGTCCCAGTGCAGTCAGGGACAAAAAAGGTAAGGTTCAAAGTTTTCTTTTGTGAGGCACATAGATAATATGTTGCAGGATGGAATCTAGAAGTGTGTACATTTTAGATAGAAAGCTAGACTTTACACAATTAAAAATGGGAAGCAATGGCTCTCTTTAAATACATCAGTTGAATTTATTTCAGCTGCCAAAAATTTGCTAAGCATTGCGTATAGCATCTGTTTCAAGAGAGTTATTTTAAAATGAAAATTTTGAGGATTGAAGTTACATTAAGGAATTAAAATATCTTTTGACATACTAGGGATGTCTATATATGTATATATAAATGATATGTATCATTTAGGGTATTATGTTCTAGGGATTAATGTGAGCACCTTGCTGTGTCATATCATTTTGGTTTGGCCCATGTATTCTGTTGGGCATCAAGCCACCCAGGTTGTCTTTTTGTTTTTTTTAAACACATTTTTAGTTACAGTTGGACACAATATCTTTATTTTATTTATTTACTTAATGTGGTGCTGAGAATCAAACCCAGTGCCTCAGACATGCCAGGCAAGCACTCTACCACTGAGCCGCAACCCCAATCCCCAAGTTGTCTTAATGATCCCCTAAACTGGGCTGGGGAAGTAGCTCAGTGGTGGAGTGCTTGCCTAGGTTACATGAGTCCCTGGGCTCAATCCCCAGCACCACAAAAATAAATGAATGAATAAGTAAAGAAATAGAGAAGATGACCTCCTAATCAGCAGCAGTTCAGCCATCCTGGAAACCTGGATATCTCAGAGCAATTTGCTGTGACCTGAATTTTTTGTCTTTGGCCCATGGAGGGAAGGGACAATGATCAAAGCAGCCCCTAGTTTTCAGGCAAAGGCCAGATGTTATCAGCAGGACCTTAGAGGACACAAAAGCTGTCCTGCACTCCTGGTGTCCCCCCGCTGAACACAGGTGGTCCCAGAGAACACCAACGTTAAGCAAAGTCACCCTGTGACCATGGAAGATCAAGAAAGACAAGCATCTTCCACAGGTCATGTCTGAACACACAGAGAGGAGACGCAAACAAGAGGCATACGATCATAGAATTACCTCCACTTCTTGGAAACATCCATTTTAGAGCAAAGATCCACTTCCTGACACCCTCCTATAAACCACCCGACACAAGCACAAATCTGACAGTGTGAGTCTATAAAAAACTCTGAAGCCAAGGTGCTCACAGTTTCCCATCTTGTGCGTCTGTGCTACAGTGTGTGATGGATGCAATTTAACTCCAGTTGTGCTCCTGGTGGTCTTTGGCTGGAAGGCATTGCAATAAGGCGGAATTGTTTGCAACATACAGCATGTGCGTGTTCACACATGCTCAAACACACACTTACACTTTGAAAACACTGGCACATGACTAGAAAAGAAAGGATTGCATGAAATTTGAGCCGTAAGACAGGAACTGTGTAACAAGGTATTTTGTAGATAAGACTTTTTAAAAAATTCATGCAAGCACATTCAGTTTTCTTAACTTGAATAATCAGGGGACAGAATTAGAAGATGTGCACAGGTGCTGTCCTCTATTAAAAGGAACTTGGGTTCCTTGGACAAACAGCTGTGTGCAGAACCTGGGAAGGAGAGGTGGAACAGGAGCCCCAGCATCTGTTCTTGTGTGTGCTAGAAAAATTTGGAAGTTCTAAAAGAATCATGTAGACTTTTGGTAGATACAGTGATCAACTGAAAGAGGTTCTCATGAGTCAAACTGAGATGATTCGAGAAAAAAATTTCAAAATACATTACTATTGGTACAAAAATATTGAAAATATTTTTGAATGGTAATGTATTCCATTGAATAAATAATAATTACTGATTCAGAATGGATATTAATGAGTACATAGATAAGGAAAGGCACAAATTTAAACAGAGAAGTGGACTGCTTTTTCCTGCAGTACATTTGTATCTGTACAAAGCAAAATAAAAAAATTGAGTTAAAAATTCATCAATGAATTTGAAAACAGGTGGATCAAAGAATATGCCTACAGTCTCAACACGACTCCCTCTCAAATTATGTTAACTACAATGGGAAAAATTAGAACATCACAATTGGGAGACTTAAAAAAAACAATTCAACCAAACAATTTAACATGCAATTTCCAATTCTGAAAGAAAATTGTATACACTTGTAAAAAAAATTTTGTACATTCGAGGGTACAGCATTACTTGTGTTGTAAAAAGATCAAAATGCAAACAAATATAATTTTGAAAAATATCAAACAAATTCAAATTAAGAGAAAAATTCTACAAAATAAATGGCCTGTAGTATTTAAGAAAAGCAAACACCTAAGGAGAAGAAACAAATGAAAGGAGAAGAAATGTTCCAGATTAATGAAGCCTGAAAGTACATTCTGAATAGATGCAAATACCTGATTTTGCATTCATTCCTGAGCAAAGGAAAATAGTTCTAAGGAAAAGGTTTAAAAAACGAATGAAATTTTAATATGATTCATCTTTTATAGCTACAATAGAATTTATTCACAGGAAAGACAGGCTGATTGATTCAGGGGTCATGAAGCACAATCTCCAACTTCCACTCAAGTGGTACATACAAATTATGGACAGAGAAGACTTATAAAAACAGGAAGATAAAACAAACTAGTAAAATGTTAACTACTGATAAATCTCATCAAAGGGGATATGGAGTTTTTTTTTTTGTGCTGTTGGTGCCTGAGGTCACCCAAAGAGGTCAACAATGAAATTAGATGTAAAGTCAAGAAGTCTGGTGTTAGAATGTACGTCTGTTCTTCAGCACTATGCTTTCTAGATAGTAAAAAATTCATGTATTTTCATTTCAACCCTATCAGGATCATCATTCCTTGTAAAATTAAGGAGATGGCATGCAAAACAAAAAAAAATAATTACTGATGAGCAATTAATGTACCTTTGTGTAAACAAAACCCTTGATGTTTAAAAACATCAGGGATGATTTGGATGAGGAAGAGAAATGTTGTGTATTTCTGCATCTACAACATGTATCATTTCATGAAACATGGTCTTACTTCATGGGTAGACGATACTTTGTTTATATATAAACTTAATTGGTGACATTTTCAAATGCAAGGCTATAGAGGTTCTCTGTTAGGGTTTCCCAAAGCGTACTTAGCTTCACATGCTTTGTATCCATCATCAGTTATACCACAGTTCCCAGAAATGTCAGTCTTAGAGTTAAGTTCGTTGTAACAGTCTTCAGAAGCAAATATTGACCCTGAAAAAGAGTGAATTTATTCTAAGTTTTATTTTTAACTTTAATATTGTGTTAAAAAGCTGGACTTTCTATATTTATATTAAACAATATATAATATAAACAAAGGATAACTAGCAAGCGATATTTCAGGGACATTACAAAGTGACATTATATAATTAATTTTATAAGTAGCATAATATTCTTGAATGTATATGCACTTACATATCATAGCAGATCTTCGAATACTTGAAGCAAAAAGTGATAATTTGAAAAGAGAAAAGTCCACAGTTATAACTGAAGACTTCAACATTTCTCTTTCAGTAATTTATATAAACAAGAAGGCAGAGGTATAAAATGTTTGAAAACTAATATCACCTAACTTGACCTAATAGACCTTCATTTTATTAAACACTAAAAGTTATAATCACAGAATACACATCCTGTTCAAAAGTATATAAAACATTAAGGTAGACCATATTTGAGACATAAAATAAACCTTAACAAATTTTAACATCCTGGAATCATAGGAACATTTTCCAGACCATAACACTTCTCACCTTCACAATAGCAAAGCCATTTGAATTGTGAAGTCTGCATGGAATTAAACAACGCTCTACCAACAGGGGCTGCCAGATAAGGAGGGGATGGAGCTGAACATCTAGACTCCCTAGCAAATTTGGCCAGTCTGGGTAAGAGCTGTAAACAAACAGCAATATATTTGTGTCAGACAGACTTCTTCATAGTTGGGAGATTCTCAAGTCGAAATCCAAGAAAGATCTCCAGTTCAGAAACCTCAGCAAGAAGAAAATTGAGTATCTGTAAGAGAGTTATTACATTAACTGCTTCATGTAAACTGCTCTCCAATGTCTTTCCACAATTTGCATTTCACCAGAGTTCTAATTTGATGTATTTTGTCATTATTTGAATCCTTTTATGATAGCTCTTCTCCTTTTTCTTCCATGTCCGTCTTCTTCCACTCCTTTATCCATTTTTCTCTCATTTTATCTTCTGTGTCCCTTTTAATCTTTCTTCTAATTCAACTTGGCATACTGTAACTAATGCTTGATCTCTTCACATAGTCTATATTATTTCTAACCCACTTTTCTCTTTGGTTAATGGAGTTGCAGAGATTTTTGGTAATAACTCTTATTGCATATGTTGACATATGGCTTATTTTTAAATTACCACTGTTACTTGAAGTTACTCTCTTCTCAAATTGCTAGTGGTGGTTGGACTTATCACTTGATTATGCTGATCAAATGTGTGGAAGCTAACATACCCCCAAAGTCTAGTGCTTCTCATGAAGAGATAACTATTCACTGAAGGACTTTCACATTAAAGAGGAGGAGAGATCCACCTCAACACATGCACAAATATAGGACCTCAGAAAACATTAGAAAACAGGCCAAGAAGATGCCTTCAAAAGTTTATAACCCCCCACTGGTTGAATCCACAGATAATAAAGTAGATGAAATCCCAAGGAATTAAAAAAAGCTTATTGCTAAGGTGATCAATGAATTAAGAGAGAAAACACAGGATTTGAAAGAGAATTTCAATAAACAGAGATGGGTTCTGAAAATGAAACAAATAAAAACCCCAGCATGAAAGACACAGTAAATCAGATTAAAAATTCAGTTAAAAGTCTCTTGGACAACATTAAGAGACCCAACATAAGAATTACTGGAATTGAGGCAGTAACTGAGATACAGGCTAATGACACTGAGAGCCATTTCAGTGAAATAATATCAGGTATGATATGGACATCTACATACAATATGCAAAAAAGAACCTCTGTGTGACATTATAATTAAAATGCCAAATATATGGGATAAGGATGGAATTTTAAAAGCCTCAGGAGAAAATGTAACATTTAGAGGAAAGTAAAAAAATCAGAATAACATCTGATTTCTTAAAAAAAAAGGCAGGAAATAATGTAAACATCTCCCTATAATAATGAGTGTAAATGGTCTAAATTCTCCAACTAAAAGACATTGCCTGGCAGAGTGGATTTTTAAAAAGACCCAACTATATGTTGTCTTCAAGAGACTTACCTCTTAGCAAAGACATCCAGAGGCTGAAAGTGAAGGGTGGAAAAAATATTCCATGCAAATGGAGCCTAAAAGAAAACCAAGAGTAGCCATACTTATGTTCAACAAAGCAGACTCCAAGCCAAAATTAATTACAAGAGACAAAGACGATCACTTCATATGGTAAAAGGAACAATCCAACCAGAATATATATATATATATATATATATATATATATATAATAGTAATAAATATTTCTGCCCCACCATGGGTGCACCTGATTATATAAAACAAATGCTAGACGCCAATACAACAATACCAACTGATTTCAACATACCTCTATCAACAATAAGTAGGCCAATCAGATATAAAATCAGTAAAGACACTTCAGATCTAAAGTTTATTATAAATGAAATGGGCATAGCAGACAGCTCTAGGCTATTTCACTCAACAATAGTTGAATTCATTTTTATCCCTCAGATGTTCATGGAACATTCTCCAAAAGAGAACACATTTTATGTCATAAGCAAGTCTTAGCAAATAAAAAAAATCAAAATAACTTCTTGCATCTTATCATATCGTAATGAAATTAGAAACAGCAAGAAAACATACTGGGGCTGGGGATGTGGCTCAAGCGGTAGCATGCTCGCCTGGCATGCATGCGGCCCGCGTTCGATCCTCAGCACCACATATAAACAAAGATGTTGTGTCCGCCGAAAACTAAAAAGTAAATATTAAAAAAATTCTCTCTCTCCCTTCCTCTCTCTCTCTCTCTTAAAAAAAAGAAAAAGAAAGAAAAAGAAAACATACTGAAGCTATGTAAACACATGGAGATTGAACAATATACTTTAAATGATGAATGGATTATAGAAGAAATCACAGAATTTAAAAATTTAAAAGCAATGCAAGAAATTTTAGAGGTGAAATGATTGGGTTATGAGAGACTTAATCTAATCAGTACGTTAATCCATTTGAATGGATTGGTTGGTTGGTACCTTTAGGCAGATAGGACATGGCTAGAGGCATGTCTTTGGGGTTTATATTTTGTTCCTAGTGAGTCAAACTTAGTCTCTTTCTCTATTTTGTCATATTTTGAGCTCTTTTCCTCTGCCACACCCTTCCACCGGGCACAGACAAATGGAGTTGGTCATCTATGGAGAGATCTCAGAAACTGAGCTCTAAATAAAATTTCCCTTCTCTAAAATTGTTCTTATCAGGTAAAAGCAATGAAAAAGCTGACTAAAACAAGAAATAGAACATATCAGAATCTTGGTGTCATTATGAAGAGGGCTCTAAAAGGAAATTTTATAGTTACGAGTGCCTACATTTAAAAAAAATCAGAAAGACCCCAAACAACCTAATAATGCATCTCAAGGTTCTAGAAAAACAAAAGCAAAACAAAATAAGTACAAAGAAGGACGTAAGTAAGATGAAAGCTGAAATTAACAAAACAGAGAATAAAAAAACAAAACAAAACAAAGAATCGATGTTACAAAGAGTTGGTTCTTTGAAAAGATAAAAAATATTGGTAAACCATTAGCTAAGCTAACAAAAAAAATGCAGAAAGATCATTAGGGACTATTTTGAAAACATATATTCCAATAAATTGGAAAATCCAGAAGAAATGGATCCATTTCTAAACACATAGACATACCAACATTGAACCAAGAGGATATAGAAAACCTGAACAGACCAACAACAAGCCACGAGATTGAAGCAGTAATACAAAGCCTTCCAACAAAGGAAACACCGAGACCAGACGGATTCTCAGCTGAATTCTACCAGACCTTTAAAGACTAATAACCAATGATCCCCAAATCACTCCATGAAATATAAAGGGGTAGAACACTTCCAAATTCATTCCTTAAAGTCAGTATCAACTTGATACCAAAACCAGATAAGGATATGTAAGTAAAGAAAACCACGGACCAATATCTCTATTGAACATAGATGCAAAAATCCTTAATATTAGCAAATTGTATTAAAAAACATATGAAGAAGACCATCATACGTCATGCTTAAGTTTGTTTCATTCCAGGGATGCAAAGATGAGTCCGTATACATAAATCAATAAATGTAATTCAACATACAAATAGAATTAAGGACAAAAATCACAAGATCATCTCAACAGAAGGGAAAAAAAGTTTTTTTGACAAAATTCAGCATCCATTCACAATAAAAACACCGAAGAAACCACGAAATTTACCTCCCCATCATCGGGGCTATTTATGACAAACCCAAAGCCAACATCCTAGCAAATGGTGGAAAATCGAGAGCATTTCCTCTAAAATCGGGAATGAGTCAAGATGTCTACTCTCACCACTCCTATTCAGAATAGTACCTGAAATTTTAGTTTGAGCTATTAGGCAAGATAATTGTTTAAGATACATTTTTAGCATTGCTGTGATCAAAATACCTTACAAGAACAACTTAAGAGGAAAAGTTTATTTGGGGCTCACAGTTTCTGAGGTTTCAGTCCAACTCATTACTCTGGGCCCAAGGTGAGGCAGGCATCATGGGTAAAAGCGCCCCGCAGAGGAGAGCTGCTCAGCTCATGGCGGGTTCAGAAAGGAGAGAGAGAGAGAGAGAGAGAGAGAGAGAGAGAGAGAGAGAGAGAGAGAGAGAGAGAAGGGTGGGGCCAGGCCACAGGGAAGGTGAACCCTTTCAGGATATGGCTCCAGTGATGTACCTCCTCCAGTCATGCTTCACCTGCCTTCAATGACCACCTAGTTCATTCAAATAAGGACAGGCCAATTAGCTTAAAGCTCTCATAATTCAACCATTTTACCTCTGAATATTCCTTCAGTAACACAGGAGATTTGGGGGGGACACCTTATATTAAAACCAGGATATAAAAGGGATACAAAGAAGAATTATCACCGATTGCAGATGATTTAGCCCTATATTTAAAATATACTAAAAGCTCCACTGGAAGAGAGTTCCAGAGCTGATAAGAAAATATTCACAGAGCAACAGGATACAAAATCAGTATATAAAAATGAATATTTTTCTTCTATACACAACAAACCCCCTGAAAATGAAATCAGGAAAATAATTTCATGCACAATAGCCTCAAAAGACATACACTCATCTACCCCTAACTCCACCACAACAATAAATGTAGAAATAAATCTAATCAAGGAGGTTAAAGACCTCTACAATGAAAATTATAGAACACTGAAGAAAGAAATTGAGGAAGATGTTAGAAGACAGAAAGATCTCCCAGGTCCTTGGATAGGTAGAATGAATATCACTAAAGTGATCCTATTACCAAAAGCAATCTACAGATTTAATGCAATTCCCATGAAAATACCAATGACATTCTTCAAAGAACTAGAAAAACATTCCTAAAATTCAGTGGAAGAATAAGAGATCCAGAATAGTCAAAGCAATTCTGAGTAAAAACAACAATGCCGGAAGCCCCACAATACCTAGTTCAAATTATACTACAGAGGTGGTAGTAACAAACACTGCAAGGTACTGACATAAAGACAGACATGCTGACCAATGGAACAGAGCAGAACAGAAGGCACAGAGACAAACCCGCACAGACATCTTGACAAAGGTGTCAAAAGCCGTTTAAACAAATGGTGCTGAACAATTGGAAATCCAAATATAGAAGAATGAAACCAGATTCCTTTCTCTCACTCTGCACAAAAGTCAACTCCAAGTGGTTCAGAGGCCTAGGAATTCAATCAGAAACTTTGCAATTGCTAGAGGAAAACAGAGGGTCAACACTCCAAATACAAGTGCAGGCAATGACTCCCTCGATAGAACTCCTAAAGTTCAGGAAGCAACACCAAGAATTCAGTGGAATGGCATCAAATTAAAAAGCTTCTGCACAGCAAAGGTAAGAAGAACATAAATAGACAGCAAACAGAAGAGGAGCAAATCTTTGCCAGCTACTCCTCCAACAGGGAATTAATATCCAGAATATGTAAAGAACTCCAAAAACGAGTACCAAAAAGCAAATAACCCTATCAACAAAAGGGCAAATGAGTCATTTCTTAAAAATAAAAAATAAGAAGAAATAAATACACATTAAGAAATGCAAACTGCCAACAAATAGATGAAAAGATGCTCAACATCTCTAGCAATTAGGGGAACGTAAATCAAAACTACACTGATCTTTCATCTCACTCCAGCTAGAATGACAATTAGCAAGAAAGCAAATGGTGATAAATGCTGGTGAGGATGTAGGAGACAACATGAACTCATACGTTATTGGTGAGACTGCAAGTTAGTGCAACCCGTCTGGACAGCTGTATGAAGATTCATCAAATCACTAAGAATAGAACCACCCTATAACCCAGCTATCCCACTTCTTAGTATGTATCCAAAAACTAAACTCAGCATTCTAAAGTGATACAGGTGCATCAATGGTTACAGGAGTCCCATTCACCAAAGCCAAGTTACGGAACCAGCCCCGGTGCCTGTCAACAAATGAGTGTGGTATTCATATGCAATGGAGTTTTACTCAGCAAAAAAGAAGATTGAAATTATGGCATTTCTGGTAAATGGAGATGGAGACTAAAACGCTAACTGGAATAGGTCAGGCTCGGAAAGTTGAGGGTCAAATGTTTCTCTCACAGGCAGAAGCTAGAGCAACGTAAGGGGGGGTAGGCAGTTCAAATAAAAAGAGGGGGGAGATCGGCGGAGTAGAGTAAGGGGATTGAAGGGGAGGGAGGAGGGCCGGAAAAGGGAGGATCGTGGAATGAAGTTGACAAAATTATGCTGTGCACGTATAAGTGTCCCACAGTGAATTCCATCTTTATGCCTATCTATAAACACCAATTAAAAAATAAATAAATACAAGAAGGCCAGTAGAGTACAAGAAGGGAAATAGGGGGAAGGAGGGGGTGAGGACAAGAGGAAGTGCTGGGGACTGAAATGGAGCGAGTTATGTTCCATGCATGTATGATTATGTCACAATGAACCCCCACCACTATATATATATAACTGTAATGTCTTATAAAGACATTTTGAAAAAGAAAAAATAATGAATAGCTTCCTAGCCTACTGACAGAGACCCTTCTAAATACAACACAAGATTTTAGAGAAGGACTAGGATTTATGAGAGGCAAGATTTCTCTCCCTTTTAGCCTTTGTTCATCCTCTGGAGACTGTAGGGAAATTTTAAACGCCTTTCTAATGTTTTTGACTGGCCTGACCAGTTTCTGAGCTGCTTCAGAACTCCACGCGTGCTCTGTGGAAACATAATCCATGGTCTTGAGAGTCCCCCTGCAATTCCTGCTGCTAAAACTCTTCTATCCGCCCCCACCCTCGCCCCCATTAGAGGATCTCTGTCTTAGTTTGGCCCAATCTTCAATTTCCAGAATCTTCAAATGTTCCTAGGAAGATAAATGGTTGGCTATTGTGACCTCTTACTCGTGAGGTTCCTCTTCGGTGGAAATCGGATCCATTGGTTGTCACGGGCTCCCTTGGGTGCCAATACCTTTACGACGCCCACCAGTTCAATGGCGCTTGCATTTTCTACCTAGTTATCTTCTCCTGGTTGCGTCTCTCCCTATATGCCACATCTTTTCCCTAAGACTAAGTCTTAACACAAGTTTTAGAATTAATATAATTGTGAAATATTTAAATGTAAATGAACCTCCTCAGTCTTTGTTTATTTTCCTAATCTAGTTCCCCCACGCTGTTCTAGCCCTCTTTGGGGTGCATCAGATGTTTTTATGGTGCTTAGTCTCCTGCCTTATGCTAAGTTCAGGTTGTGACATGGGTATTTACTTATGTCAGTCCAACACTACCCAACACTTTGGCCACTGATCATTTCTATCCTAAAGCCAGTCTTTTCATTCTTATTTTTATTTTCCTATTTGTAAGGTCAAACGTCATTTGATTCAGGCACCTTTCAAGTCATTCTTCTTTCTTTTCCGTCTCGAGCTTTTCTTGAATGGGTTGTAGGGATGGCCCATTCTCTTACCTTTCTCCATCTGGGTCTCCATAACACGTGCGTTCGTCTCTTTGTCATCACGTTTTCACAACTTGTTTTCTCGCTCTGCTGTGAGTCCCTCCCAGAGTCTGACACATGCTGCACAAGCGCTCCACCAGGCCCTCGCACCTCCAGGCCTTTCAGGAACTTTTCTGAGTTTGCCCTTCCTTGTTTTCTGTGAGCCACGATGTGCAGATTTTCTTCAGACTTATAATCTACTCTTCAGTCATGCCACTCCAGTACGATTAATCTGCGAGAGAACTCATCATGTCCCTACTTTTATTTTTGATTATTTACTTAACTTTCCACACTGGCAGATAAAATGGCACGTGTTTTCTGTGAACAACAAGATCTTTGGACAGAGATAGACATCGTGGAGCCATCAGATCTAGCTGAGCTCTTAATTTCAGTTCTAGATATTTGTACTTCATCATATTTTCGTTTTTTCAAAAAATTCCCATATGCTACGCTTCGCAGCATCCGCATCTCTCTGGATCACACCCAACTTTTCATTCTCTTTTTCTTTTTTTTTTTTTTGCCTGTATTTTCTTGCACAGTTCTCCCCATTCTCACACCCTCACTCCCCTTGCTTCTGTTGTCTGTTGTGTCACCCTCTTCTGTAGTTCCTATTTTGACATGCAGTGATTTGGGGACATCAAGGGTGACGTATCTCCAGCTAGGGTCTGCGCTTTGCTTCCAGCCAGTTATTTAGGATACAAGTGGATCCAATGAGAAGGGTGTTAGCACAAAGGTGGGCTTCCATCTTCCTGCGGCTGACCGCTTCCCAGCCACATTTTGCCAAGGTCAAGTCCTCAGTGGGTCCCCATGGAAAACGCAGGGCATCCACAAGAGCTCGTGTCCCTTGCCACAGGCTAAACTGGAACGTTGCTCCTCCCAGCTCCCTGAGACTGCGGGAAGCTCTGTCCAGGTTGCCAGCTGCCCAGCTTACAAGGGCTGAGGGTTTCCTCACCTACTTCTTCTCTCAGCCGTCAGTTTCACAGTAGCAATGCTTCAAGGGCTGACCTCACCTCTCCGGGCACCCGTCTCCTGGCCTTGGTAGCTCGGCAACTCTTCCAAATAAAATTTTAAGTTTCTTTTTCCATTTTGATAGTTGTTCTTACTTCAGGAAGCTTTGTCTAACTCACACTTATCAACCATTGCAGAGACAGAGGTCTGCTACCTTTTCTTCTGTTTTGATGATGTCTGTTTAAAAAATAGTCTTACTAAGATACTGCCATAGTTCTCTACAGTTCATAGATATTTAATCGCAATTTTTCAATTTTTGGCAGACTATCATCACTAATCTTCTGAAGATCCACTTTAAAAATTTCTTCCCCTTTTCCCATTTGCTTATATCCATGGTCTCTACTGTGGAAGGCAACCCAGATTCTTAAACTTTGGCACAATTTTCTCACATGTGTATTTTTTAAAAAATATTCACTTAGATGGTATTTCCACAGCATATACTTTTCATAAGTTTTTCTCTCAATGTTGCATTACTCAATACATACCTGTTTTGTTAATGAAAATAGTGTGATATTTGCTAGGTTGCAATCAGTGCATTTAATTTTTATTCTTATTCAATCTATTCAATTTTGATTACAAGTAAAGCTTAACATCTACTTCTTTTTCTTTCCTTTTTTGGATGGGGGATGCAGTACTGGGAATCGAACCCAGGGTTACTTTACCATTGAGCTACATCCCCCAGTCTTTATTTTTAAAAATTTTGTGACAGGGTCTCTCTGAGTTGCTGAGGGTTTCATTAAGTTGCTGAGGCTGCCCTCAAACTTGCAATCCTCCTGCCTCAGGCTCCTGAGTCACGAGGATTATAGGTGTACACCACCACAGACAGCTACTTTGTTTTTTAGTGTCCAGAAAAACACATATATGGAAAATAAAATTATTATAAATACCTTGGCCAAATAGATCTTCACATTGTTTATCCCCACTTCTACACACTCCCCCGATGCAGATCCACTTATTTTCGCTACAGGGATGCCCATCTATGATAAAGACATTTTCTTGACATACTTGAGATGAGCCATTGCAGTATTCAGTGAGATCACATTCATTGGCGGCAGACCGGCAGACATGTCCTTTTTTGGAAAACTGAGGGGGTGAAGTAACTTATATTGAATAAAGCAGAATGTGAATATACAAGCATTATACAGAATAATGCTTGTCATTATCTAAGTCACATAGAAAACTTTTTAAAAAAATTCTTACTTTACATTCACTACAGCAGGGTCCCGAGGCACATTCTGAACCAGCGGTCAGAGCACATGTGCTGTGTTCGCAGCATACAGGCTTGTTTGCCGCACACTCCTGAAAGGCAAATCAAATGCTCTCGGGCATCTTCCAATTTTTATTTATTGGGTGGACATTTTAATAATAGATGCTTAATATGTTGGCAAACAGAAAAAATTCACATCTTCCTGATTCCCCCTTGTTCATTACCACCTACTGGGAGTGTTCCCAAAGCTCACTCTTGAGTTTCACTTCAAGTTTTCATCTATTTACTTCACTTTATCCTGACTTTATCTCTACCCTTCCAACTTCCCTCTAACTCTGGCAGTTTAATCTAAGATGGAGAGAGAGAGAGACAGACAGACAGAGAGACAGAGACCTCTAGAGATACAGAGACAGAAATTAATATATGTATATATCAAATATATTAATATATTAATAATACAGCATATAATATAATTACTAATATAATTTGATAGAGGTAAATATCACAAAATGTGTACACACATCAAATCATCAGGATTTGTGTACACCAAATATCTACAATTGCTTCATTGTCAACTATGCCTCAATAAAGCTAGAATTTAAAAAGTTAGATCACTTTATGGATAGTCTACAAATCAATGGACCTATAAAGCAACATGTAGTTTCACTCATGGAGAAGAAGGAGGGTGGTCCATGGAGGGAAATGACAGTACAGCATTATAAAAATTAATTCACAGTTTCTGAGGCAATTCTGGAATATAGCTCTCCACGTTAGTCCTGACCTGTTCAGTTCCACAGTCACAGGCTTCTCCTTGCTCCACAACCTTATTCCCACACACCGCCGCCTGCTTGTAAGACGGCTCTAAGCGTGGATGATTCTGAAGACACTCGGACTTTTGCTTTGAAATAAAATGTGCGAAATCTTCCATACTGCAGTTACTGAAGATCTTCACACCACTGGAATGACTGAGAACACATGGAACTTCAAATGTTGGTGTGAGCAGTTTTCATAAACTGCCTACCCTCAGAATAAAGGCACTTAATTAGCATTCCACGACCGACTCAATGCTCAAAGAAAGCAAAGACTTTGGGAAGTCAACTGTGCAAGAACTTAGAGATCTTCTAGTAGGAATAAGGGATCAGTAAAAAGTGATGGCTTCTTCTATTACACTTATCTGTTACATCCTTTTATCTTCTACCTTACAAACGGCCCCAGCTCCCTTTCGCTTGTTCCCGTCCCTCTCGTGACGTTTAAGTGTTGAAATAGCCCTGTACTAACAACAGTAACAAACGTGTTCCTTTCATCTATACTTTGTCATCCATCATTTTGTTCAGCTCCACAGTGTCAAATAAAACCTACATCTGACAGCTCAGATCTTGTTCCTCTAACACAAACTTACCACCTAAATCCCAGAGGCCAATATCTGATTCTTTACTTGGTGTTTCTTCTTGAGTCTAGCTCACAGGCACCTTAAGTTTAAATGACCTAAATTCTAAATGCTTCTTGCGTAAAAACATACCGCTTACAAAGGATGGCATGGTGCTTCGGAACATGTAAACTGTGCCCAATCCAACTGTGTGGATTAAAATCTTGGTTCTGCCACTTACAGGTTGTATGTCCTTGTGAAAGGTCTTTAAATTATATGCATATTTTTTCCAGTTTCCTCTTTGCAATATGGAGATAAAGGTTCATTTGTGTCATAGACTTGTGAGACTCCAGTACCTGTAAAGTACTAAGACCGTGTCTGCCCATTGGTTCTACTGTTAATATTTCCAAACTCAAAATAGAAAAAATACCCAGGACAAAATCTCGAGGCCCTTCTATTTCTCACTAACCCAATGTTGTCAAATCTATCCACTAACTATGTCCAGCCACCTCTGCCCAGCCTTCACCATCTCAGTACTAGTTCATGCAATAAATAGCCCCCTCGATGACCAAGCACTTCAGGTTTTGTCCTTTGTATTTTTCTCTCAAAATCCGAATCAAGCATTCTCCCTAAAACACTGATAATGTCACATCTCTTCTCTGTTTAAACCCACCTCAGTCATTCAGAGCACGACCTATGTGACCTAATCACCAATGCCTTCTCCAAGGTCATGCTCCTCATCCACCTCATCTCCTTTGCTCAGCTAAGTGACCTTCTTGACTGTCCCCTCTGCCAAATATTTAATGATTTCTTCTGCCTTGGAAACTTTCTCAATATGTATGCATGGTTCCTTCTCATCTATTTCAGATATCTTTTCAAAATTTACACAGAGATATTTCTAAGGACCTTGATTGACTTCTCAGACCGTTTTTCAGCTTCAGGAGCTCTAATTGTTTCCTTTACTAGCACAGAGTAAAACTCCACAATCATTTTTTAAAAAACAAATGTGTGCATGATTGGAACTATCTGTTGTAAATAATAGATCCTGAGTAATTTATGATTTTTTTAATTTTCAGAATATTAATATTATTTAAAAAGATTGTGATCAACCAGACTCCTATAGCACAGGACTAAATTGAAAAATCAACAAATGGGATGGTATCAAACCCCAAACTTCCTCACAGAAAAGCAAACAATCAAGAGCATAAAGAAACAGCCTACAGAACAGGAGAAAAATCTTTGCCATCTACACCCCAGATAAAGCATTAATCTCCAGGATATAAAAAGAACTCAAAAAGCCTAACCCCCCAAAACCAAATTGCCCAATCAATAAATGGGCTAAGGGGCTGAACAGACAACTGGTCAAAAAATATATGAAAAAATGTTCAACATCTCTAGCAATGAGAGAAATGCAAATTAATACTATACTGAGATTTCATCTCACTCTAGTCAGAATTGCAGTTATCAAGAATACAAGTAACAATAAATATTGGTGAGGAATGGGGGAAAAGGTACACTCATGCATTGCTGGTGGGACTGCAAATTGGTGCAACCACTCAGGAAAGCAGTATAGAGATTCCTCAAAAAAACTAGGAATGGAATCACCATTTGACCCAGTTATCCCACTCCTTGGCATATACCCAAAGAACTTAAAATCAGCATACTATAGTGATGTGGCCATATCAATGTTCATAGCAGCTAAATTCACAGTAGCTAAAACTATATAACCAATCTAAAGAAAATGTGGTATATATACACAATGGAATATTAGTCATCCATAAAGAAGAATGAAATCATAGCATTTGCTGGTAAATGAATGGAACTGGCAGCATACTAAGTGAAATAAACCAATCCCCCCAAACCAAAGGCTGAATGATCTTTCTGATATGCAGATGCTGAATCACAATAGGTGGGGGTTGTGGAGAGGAGTGGAGGTTCACCAGACTGGATGGGGAGGAAGGGAAGGAGAGATGGGAATGGGAAAGACAATAGAATGAATCCGATATCACTTTCCCATGTTCATATATGAATATATGACCAGTGTCACTCTACATCATGTACGACCACAAGAATGGGAAGTTATACTCCATGTATGTGTAATATGTCAAAATACATTCTATCGTCATGTAGAACTAAAAAGAACAACAACAAAAAAGACAGCTTGACGATATTCAGGAGGGTGTGGGGGATCCAAAGGAGTACCTGCATTTAAGATCTCCTGATCCTTTCTATCATTTCTTCACCATCCTAACTATTAGGATCATTGCAACAGCATCACAAGCTATGCTATGCATCACCATTGCCGTTGCATGACATGACAATTTGGACAATGGCAGATAAAAATGAAACGAGTATTGCTTGACATTATGAACACAAATGATATAAGATGTTGTCTGTTTAGATTAGCCAGAAAAAAAAATAATGTATTTGGGAGTTGATCCTAGCAAGAAGAAATAATGGATCAAGGATGAAGAAAGACAAAAAATGCCATGCCAGGGTGTGTTATTGACCTGGCACGCCAGTGTCCCCCTGAAGCCACTGGAGGTCGCCCCGAGGAGGGAGTATGTGCTTTTCATTTTGGGACTTGTTTTATAGGTGACCTGGGGTAGAAGCTGGTTGACGTTCATTGATGGAGAGCTGCTTCTAAAAATAAATACTTGGGAATTGAAAATCGGATCTAAACATCTGTGTACAGTAGCCCCTTGGTCTCCACAGGGGGTGTTCGTGCCAGAATCCCTGACAGATACCCAAATCCTCAAATGCTCAAGGTTCTTGTGCAGCATGTCCTAATATTTACATATCACCTATCTCATCCTCCCATATTCCTTAATTCATCTCTAGATGACTTATAATACCTCAGGCAATGTCAATGCTAGGTAAACAGTCATTACATTGCATTGCTTAGGGAACCGCGACAAGAAAAAAGTCGTCTGCACATGTTCAGATATTTTTTCAAATATCTTTGATCCATGGTTGGTTGAGTGTGAATGTGGCACACAGGGGGCCAACTGTACTTTGTGCCCACTCTGAATACAGTTCATGCTCCTTTCCCCACTTGTCCAGTGTTAGAGTCTACAGATCCTTGACCAAACATCCAAGTCATTGGCCATGGCAGAGGAATCTTTCCCAGTCCCAGTCTCCATCGCTTCTCTTCCACAGAGGTAGACAGTGTTTGCAAATGTGCTCACTGGGCCCTTTACCGTCTCCCGCTGTCTTTAGGTCTAACCCTAACTGGACTATAATATGTAAAACTGATTTTTAAAATTCCACAACTGATATACTGAAAGAAGACAGAGGTGTTTTGCTCTTCATCAACCAATTTTAGAGAGCTCCTATGAGGCTATCGGTATAAAGTGATTAACAAATATTGGTGCAATCAATGTAGGTGACATGAGGACCTGGGGCCCTCATTCATGGTATTTCTTTGTGCCATTTGGACCGTCTCTACTTGCTTCCAGATATACCACATGCCCTTGGTCTTATAATCTTGTATCTGAGAATACCAATTGATGGTGAAAATGTTTACCTTCAGTGGCATAGTCACCTGTCATCTCCTGGGTGCAAGCTTCACTCTATAAAAACCTGGTAGCCCACCAGGAGCTGTAACACAATTATAGATCCACCTTGCAAGTGGCTGATACTTGACAGAGACTCCATGATACTGAATGTATAAGGAACAGCTTTAGTTTCATTGTCCCCCCCCAGCCCCCCAGTACTGGATATTGAACCCACTTAGCTACACCCCTAACCCTTTCAATTAAGTAATTTATTTTTTTTTCAGACAGTCTCACTAAGTTGCATAGGCTGGCCTCAAGGAGGCTCCCCTTTAATCCCCTCGCTCTCTGGTCTTACTTCTATAAATTTCCTTATGAATTCTAAGAAGAATGATGATAAAAGCAAACACATCCCCTAGGTCTTGAAGCACCACAAGGTGACTACACAAGGTGTTCTCTATGACAAAGCTGGATGCAGCATCTCTGGAGTCAGTAGAAGCTAAGACTTCAGGTGGAGCCAGAGCAGATAAAGGAGCCGCCTGCAGATGGTCACACTAACAAAAAATTCTTGTGTTGTCATTGCAAACCTAAGTTATAAAAATCACTTAAGAGTAATAGATGTAGAGTTTGCTCACCTATGAGAAAGCATGTGTGGCATTTGATTTATATAAAAGATTGAGACAGATATGCAGTACGGGCTCTGGAATATGTCTGCAGTCACAATTGATAGTCAATCGTTAATATTTATTCTAACAGCTTAAATTTTCTTAAATTACATACACAAAAATATCTTAACATAAACTCTCTCTCTCTCTCTCTATATATATATATATATATATATATATGTACATATATGTATGGAGTATAAAGGTTAAGTCTCTTACATTGCTTCTGGGTTCATTATACAGATAGTTCCCGGGCAATGGCATTTCTTGACGTCATCGTATGATATCCCCATATTCAAGCTCACTAACTGAGCTAAAATAATGGCAAGTGATTCCAGACCTATGGCTTTGGGGTGCTGGGAAAAAAACAACAACCCACAAATTTACATGTACATATTGTTATAGGCATTTTATTGACATGCAGAACAATATCATTATTCAAAATAGTCATATAATAAAAAAGGAGTAGAGGCATCTAATATTGTTACCCACAGAAGTGCCATCATTGTTGACTTAACTTTACATATTACAGGTATTATCATAAATATTAGGAAAATATGAAAAATCAAACCTGAAATTGTACTAAAATGTAAATGAAAGGCTCATTTGGTGGCATCAGGCCAAGGAATTAAGTGATCCAGTAGCTTGTTAACTATATATAACAACAATGTCGTACTCACAAACAAAATCTTTCAAGACAAACACATAAGACACGTGTATCTCAAATTATGGACCAATTGTGTTTATTTATTATTTAATTCTTCAGAGTTGAAGATATCTTGCGTGACTGTTCCATAGGTGTTTTTTAAACTTATAAAATCACTTATTGAAATAATAATTTATATTATGGTAATAATGACTGAAAATAAAAATGCTGTTTTCAGTTCTTTACTCTTTATTTTCAAAACTAAAATACTTTTATTGTTTCCCTTTTTATAAAGATAATAAGATGATAGCATATTTTAATACTATTAAGACATAAATTTTGAAGGAGACCCACAAGTCTTGGCATGCCTTCAAATATACCTAATGAACATTTTGATGAGCAGGCTTCAGGTAGGTTTCTAGCATATGTTTTAGTTTCTTCTTCCCATTATTTTCCACCCTGCTTTCTAGACCAAGAGGATGGAACAAATGGATCCTATCAGAGGGTCCTTTGTCCTCTAGTTTTACTTCCATGCCGTCTAATGAGAAAGAGGGTGAGACTGAGGTGTTTGCCACCGTCCTTGGTAGGTGGTTGTGAATCCCAGAACCTTGCACTGGGGGTCTGCTTTCCACGTGATCCTGATCAAAAGACCCTGTCCTCCCCTCTCAGCCTGGTAACTCACTTATCACCACGACAGAGGGACCTTGCATACACATTGGTAAATGTCCCATTTATCAAATTTCCCCATTTGAATGTACTATTTGATTGCTGAGAGAGAGAGAGAGAGAGAGAGAGAGAGAGAGAGAGAGAGAGAGAAAGAGAGAAGAAGGAGGAGGAGGAGGAGGAGGAGGAGGAGGAGGAGGAGGAACAGGTAGAAATTGAAGAAGAGGAAGGAGAGAGAGATTGCATAATTCATGGAGAAGAAAATGAAGAATTCTGCTGCATTTCAAGAGTTTAAATAGAACATATTAATACTGATTTAGTTATAAATGATCTTGTTTTCAAGGTATTGTAGGAAAGTCCTATCTATCTATCTATCTATCTATCTATCTATCTATCTATCTATATCTTTCTCTCTTCTATTTCTTCTTATAGCTCAGTAAAATGAAAGTAACCAGTAAAAATCTCTCTTTAGGCATCTGTAGAGAAGCCGGTGTTTCTCCGTTCATGAACAATTGCTCCTTTGCTCCTGTCTTCTTACTGGTGTGTGCATTTCCATCTTTCCTTGAAGTAACATTTCTTTATAATTCTCTTTGTGAAAATCTCACTTGGGATTTCTATTAGTTGGATTGGCCTCCCATAACAAAATATCAAACACTGAATGGTTTACACAATAGAAATGTATTTTCCCTCAGTTCTGGAGAATCTCACAGTTCTAGAAGTCCAAGATCCAGGTTCCAGGAGGGTTGATTTCTGGTTTTGGGCTTTCTTCTTGGCTTGGAGGAACCAGCCTTCTTGCTGGGTCCTCTAATGGCCTTTCCTCTGTGTGCACGTGGAGAGGGCTGTCCCAGGTGTCTCTTCTTCTTAGATGGACACCAGTCCTGTGGATTGGAACCCCACCTTCTCCCCTCATTTAATTTTAACTACTTCTGAATAGATCATTTCTTCAAAAAAGCGGGTGGAGTTTTAACACATGAATTGTGAGGAACATGATTCAATCCACAACAGACTAGTAGGAAAAACTTGAAAAAAGATGGGAACTGGAGAGTGAGACTTTTCTACAGGGCATTGCCATTCTTACTTCAGTTTTGAAAAAAAAATTAAAAAAATGCAAAACTATATTCAGTATTAAATTTTTAAAAATATTTTAGGGCAAAAATATTACAACAAACCAGATGAGTTCTTTTTGGTAAATAACACCTGCCTAGGACAATATTTTCATATAAGAATAACAGAAGATAGTATTTATTAAGGCTTCTTATGTTCAAATCACCAGGTCAGGAAATGGTAAATGACTAGGTATTTATTGAGAATTCTTTGGTTCCCTCATGCATGATTACAATCTATAAACGTGTCTTCATGTAAGCTTTGAAAAAACTTCCAGTCTATAGTTTTAGAAATCAAGATTCCATATATGCATTTTTTTTCCTTCAATCAACATGGCTCAAAGTTTATTCAACCCAGAATTATGAGGGAACCAGTAAGATGTTACAACTAATTGAACAAGCTCTTGGAGCTAGGCATAGAAATACCCAGGGTCTAAATAGTTTGGTTCATGAATGTTTTTATTACTAAGGTCAACAGACACTCTGTTCAATACTATGTGAAGCATAACAGCCTTGAGTTTCTTTAACTTGAGGCTTCTAAGATTATGAATCCTTGAGTGGATAAGCCTCAGGGTAAAGAGTCACAGACATCAAAAATTATCTGCTGAGTAAATGAAATACACCAGACAGAGAAGGACAAATGCCATATGGTGGCACTTATTTGTGAAATCTGAAACAATCAAACTCATACATGTATAGTGCAGAACTAGAGTGGCCAGAGGCTGGGGAAAGGGGACAGGTTAGTCTAATGGCCCACTCTTCAGTTACAAGATAAATTCTAGAAATCTAATGTGCACTGTAATAACTACAGTGGTTATGTTTGGTGATTAGTGATTAATTTCATTGTGGCAACCATTACACACTATAAATATATTATGGATAATCATTAAGTCATATGCCTTGACTATGCACACGTTTTATTTATGAATTAAATATTTTAAATTTTTATAAAGTCATACACTGGGCTGGGAATGTGTCTCAGAGGCAGAACTTGTGCCTAGCATGCACAAAGCCCTGGCTTCCATCCCTAGCACTGGAAAAAAAAAATGCTTTTACTCAACCAAGAACTACTTGAGTTGTGGTTTCACATATAATTTTGAGGAGGAAGCAGCCCATGAAAGATATAATCCCTTATTGCAAACCATAGCCCCGGGGGATTAGGGAGGGAGAAAGGTGGTGAATATCTGGCAGGCAAAGCTTTAACTATTTTCTCCAACATCTCACTTCTGTGGACCTTGGCTACTTTCTAATTTTTCCAGCAAAAGATCAGGCCATAATTATTCCAAAGAAAAGTGGGGAATGAGAAAGAATATTAAAAAAGCTTTCCTGCAATTGCTCCTTTCAATGTAGGGACCATTGTCCTCTGTCCACCAGCCACAGGTGCAGGCAGCATGGCCCTCCCGGCAGCTCACTGGATGTCAGGCAGGACAGCTCTGCTTCTCTTTGTTAACCAGGTCAGCGTTTGCTCCGTATACATAAATCCTTGATTTTTCTTTTTTCTTTTTTAGTGTCACATGGGATTGTTTGAGGAAGTTGGCCAGGTTCTAGCTTTTGAGACTAGGTCAATCACTTGCCCATAAATAAAACTTGCATTTTTCCAAACTAAGATTCGTGGATTTTGAAGATGAATCCTGTCTCCATTTGGTTGATGCATCTCTTGACCTCTTTGCTCGCCTTCACCTTCACTATGGATGAGAACGAGAGCGTCACGCGTTGCCTCTCAGAAGCTCCAGCAGGCATCATGCCGACACACAGACAGGAAAGCCAAGGGTGGCAAGTGCCACAACCACAGCCTCAGGAAAGACTGGCAAAAACAAGCCAGTTTCAGATACTCTCAGATTTTCTACCGAGATCAATAACGTCAATTAGGGCCTTTGGTCCTCTCGTTCTTCACCTGTGTCTTATGAAGCATTTTAAGGTAATGGATGGTTTCAAATGTTTTATTTTAATCTGGTTCAAAATTGTGTTAGCTAGATAATTAAGTAATTATTAAGCAAAGTATGAATCTAAGCTTTAAATGAAAATAAATGCATGATTAAATATTAAGATTTATGATATTGATTATTAATGACATCGTATGGTAAGACTCAAAGAGATCATGACTTTGAACAACTTTCTAAAAAGGATATGTGGAATCAGGAAATGAGCATTGCAAAATTTTGAATGTAGTGAGTTCTGAGAAGACTTTCTATAATTTGAGCATTGCTACCAGCAGTAGGGACAAAGATCACTAGGTGAAATGCAAGTTTCAATACACATGGAAATCATAAAGTAAGGGGACCTTTAATTCTATACTCTTCTCTACAGCATTCTGCTGACACATTTTAGCCAAGCAAATTAAGCCATACCATACCATGGCCACACCTCCTCCGTAGTCCCTCTCACACATCTTCCCTTGAAAGGTGGCACCAACAAAATCTGTTCTTTCTCTGTAACTTAAATTCAAAAACTTAAGTTTAAAATCAGATCACAATCCTCTGGTTTTATAAAAGTAAGCACAATTAATTCTCAATTTTCCTAAGACAAATTTTAGTTTTGCACATTGATACTAAATTAATAAATATTTCCACTTAACAGAGTATCACCACTTTGAATGTGACTCAGCGTTTCTGTGCCCTTTGAAAACAACAAAACAGACTTAGGAAACAGGTACTAGAAAGAGGGCTTTCCTTGGGTTTTCTGTGACATAAGCAGGACCCATTTTATGTAGTGTCTTTTTAGACGGAAATGAATACGTGCCCCCAAATAAATACAAGAATAAATGAAATTCACTAAGATGGGAAAGCAAAGGTAAAACGGATGGCCAATGGGTAGCCAGTCACCTCAGGGATTAAAGTCTCCTCTTAATCAGCCACAGCTAGCCTGCCAGAGGCATGGGACAAAAGATGAGAAGTGCTGACATTTAAAAAATTGTGCATATAATTTTACTGTATAGACATATATTCCGAAAAACAAAGAGCTTATTAAACAGGAGAGACTAAAAAATTAATAGCACAATGTAACTACATTATGTAAGTGTTATATTGGAATACAAAGTAGTATTTCCATTTCTTTTTTTTTTCCTTTAATGACAATGAAGTAAAGAAGGCTAAATTCTAATACTCAAATTCAGACATGTCTCTTAGAGGAGATATTGTTAAAATTTGGAAGCTGGGCGTGGTGGTGCATGTCTATAATCCCAGCAGCTCAGGAGGCTGAGACAGGAGGATTGTGAGTTCAAAGCCAGCCTCAGCAAAGGTGAGATGCTAAACAACTCAGTGAGACCCTGCCTCTAGGAAAAAAATACAAAATACAAAATAGGGCTGGGGATGTGGTTCAGTGGTCTAGTGCCCCTGAGTTCAATCCCTAGTACTCTTCCCTCTAAAAAAATTTGGAGTATAGTCAGGGACATTTAATGATGTGGTGCTCACTCTAAGGTAAGAAGTTGTGGGGTCCCAAGATCCAAGGGGTGAGCTTTAACTACAAACCAGTTGGTAAGAGTTATGGGTACCAACAATTCCGTCATAGGTGTGGTGTAGAAAAAAAATAACTTTGACTTTACTATATGACAGAAAAAGTTAATGAGAGGCTTTTTTTTTTCCCTAGAGGCCTGTCAATGATCAGAAACAGGGCCAAACTAGTATGTTTTCTTTGTCTAAGCTTTAGTAATTCCAAAATGTGCTCACACAAGTAAAAACGCCACATCGTGCGGACGCAAAACAAGGTAAGATCTTTTCCATCGTAGAAATCTGTGTAATAACTCATTAGCATCTCCAGCGGTTGACATTTTGTTTTCGTCTACCCAAAGCTCCAGTGAAGACAGAATTATGGTAAGGTTAAAGGAGGTGAAAATCTACAATAGAATACATACAGAAGATGGATTCATACGGCACGGTCTAAACGGATTTTATGATTTATCTATGAAAATGAACTTATGACACATGCTGAACAGCTGAACTCTAATTCTGGAATGTACCTTTTAAAGTGTTTGTAGATAATAAATGCTACTAGAAATGATACTGAATATGAGTGTTTTATTTAGCTTAATTCTTAACAATAACCTAATTAGGAGTATACAGTAAATGTGTAATGGCATAAAATTTAAAAATTTTAAAAAAGGAGTATACAATTATCATTATTCCTATTTTATAGGTGGGAAAACAGAAACTTAAAATGAAACGATTTTCTCTACCATCACACAACATGTATACTCATAAAAGAAGATATAGAAATTGTTTTAGTTAACAAACAAGTGCAGAAGTATTAGAAAAGCCAACACTTACAGCATTCGTCAGTCCAATCAACTGGAAAATTTTTTGCGTGACAACAGTAGTATCTGAACCCATATGATCGTACTGTAAAATACAATTATCTTTTAGATCCACATGTACATTGTTAGACCTTTAAACACATATCAGTTTTTATTAAAAACATTTAAATTTTTCTTTAAAAACATTTTTTTGAAGTGCTGGGGACTAAACCCAATGTCTTGTGCATGCTAGGCAAGTGCTGTGCCATTGAGCCACGTTCCCAGTCCTATCTTTTAATTAATTAATTTTGAGATATGAGCCTGATAAGTTGTCCAGGTTGGCTTCCAACTCTCTATCCTACCTCATTCTCCCCAGTACCTGAGATTACAGGCATGCACCACTATGCTAGGCAACATTATTTTACTATTATACAAACCATATGATATTTAGTGTAAAAATGGAAAATCTAAAAGATGAAAAGGAGATTAAAACAAGAGATAATTCCATTATCAAATGAATGATAGCACTTCCGACTGAAAATATTACCTATTTCACAAAAAAGTAAACATCTAAATCTGAAAGATTGTAGAATCGACTATACCCATTCAAAACCATGTTTGCCTGACATTTCACTAAAGCAATGATAAAAATACAATAGATAAAAGACTCACAAGAACAAAAATGTACAGAGAAGAAAAAACTAAAAAGCAATGACAAGAATTGAAGACTGAAAACGGGATGAGTAGAAAATGATCACAGGTACATAAAAAATGTGAACCATAAACCAGTAGAGCAATAGCGTTCCCCTGAATCCCTAAAATGTGCAGAGGGGTTGTGCTGGGATCTCTGCAAACAAGAGAGCTCGGCCTAAGAGCAGATGCATCGACCTAGTTCATTTTGTGTAAGAAGTAGTTAAAGCTGGGAAAACCTCTGGAGTAGGTAAGCGAAAAACTCCCAAAAAGTTATCTATTGAATGATTTCATCCATATAACCTTTTGGAAATTAAAAAACTATGTAGACATGGAGATTACAGTCATGGATTCCAGAGGGCAGGGGCCGTGGGTGAGGGAGAAATGGGTACGACTATAAAAAGAATGCAGCAGATCCTGGCTGTGATGGAATTATCTTGTATCTATACTGAATTGGTTACAGTAGTATCCTAACTGTAACATGCTATAAAGGGTATTGTTTAAAGAATGGACAGAACTTCTATGTAGTCTTCCAACTGCATATGAATATATAATCATCTTCCCAAACCAGAATAACTGGGCAAAGAAATCAACAGAGACATTAAAGATTAAAACAAAATTATAAGTTAATAAGTATCTGAAGAACATTTCACTGCAAGACAGCACATGTGCCCTTGGAACATGATCCAGAAATACAGCATATGTAAGCTGTTAGGATTTAATCCAATTAAAACAATTTTTAAAAATGCAAAATATGTTGTCTGAATAGAATAGGATGAAATTTTAAAAAATAAAGAGAAATCCGAGAAGTTTGAAATATGCAAAACCAATTACAAGTAGCCAATGGCCAAAGAAGAAATCATAGGGGACTTAGAAAATACTATATTATCAAAATAACAAAACTTGTGGTATTCAGCTAGAATAATAGTCAGATAGAAATTCATAGCAGGACATAGCAACAAAGTCAGAGTCCAGAAATAAAGCTTCCTATTGATGGGTAGCTGGTTATCAACAAAGGCACGTGGCATCTCCTTGGGGAAATCCCAAAGTACATCAAAATAAATTTGTCATTTTTTTGATGATAAACTTTGGAACTTTTCCACAAAATAGATGGAAAAATAAGATAATGAAATTATTTCAGTATTCTCAAATTTCAAATCATTGTAATTCCATTTCATTGAGGAAATTCTACAAGAAATAACCTTCAGGAATGATAATACCATCTCCTATCTGCAATATAAATCATTATTTTCAAAGTTTAAAAAAGTGTTAAGAGTACATACAATACATTTCTATGATTCTAAATTCTTTAAATTACATGAAGTTACCATTTACTTTATTTTCATTATTATTTTTAAAATTAAGATTAAACTTTTTATAGAAATTTGACTCCCAATTTTCTACTGATATGAATGGTTTAGAATTTGGCTAATGCAGAATTGTCACTAATTCTCCTCTGTCAATAAATTCTTTCCAAATTATTTTTATAACACTTCATTGCTAACATAAAGTGACATGAGACAAATCAATCAAAAATATACTTACCAAATGTTTTTCAACTATAATATGCATTTCTAAATACTGAGCCATCTCTTGTGGCTGAAAAATAAAAATTCACAAACCTTCCATCAAAATTGAAGAATTACTTAAATATTTACAGTGTCTATCACTAATGAACTCTATTAATGAACACAATGCTAAAAATATGATTTTACATAGAGAAATAGAACCAGATAGCAAGCAAAACTAAATGTCACAGAATCTTTTTCATTTACTTCTGCTGTCACTTCTCTGCACTTAATCAACCTTTTAATGAACTCAGAAAATAACTTTTGTCCACCTTCCTTCCTTCATGTTCTTATTGGTCCTACAAGCAGTTCTATCAGCTTTATGTTACTGCATTACTCTGTGGTATGATTTTGTACTTGATCCTAAAAGAGCAATAAGAGATCCTTATGTGTAGGGGTTTGCATTTCATCTAAAGGATACAATTAATTCCATATAAGCTGCCTCAGAAAAAGATGAGAAACAGAGAGTCAAATCATGGGTTTTCTTAAGCTAGACCACAGGTATCTCAAGATAAAGTGGTTGGGGTGGGATGCCAGACAGATGATCATGGTTAAATTAGAGGTGTGTGTGGGGCTTTGAACTGTGGCTTGTCAATGTCAGGCTGTGCTGAAAATGGAAAAGAAGTAATGGTTGTCATGATGATTCATATAAGTGTTGTCTTTTTTCACTCTAATTATTACATGAAGACAACCTATAAGAAATGCACTGGGGACAGACAGACAGACAGGTTTTGCAAACATTCTGACCCAACAGGGTAGTGAATTCATAATATTCAGTCACTACAGTAACACCACCCACAGGCAGGAGACAAGTATTTAAATGCAGAGTAGAAAATCCAAACTCAGAAGCTGAAGAAATTTTTATTATGTTTATTTTACATTGGCATTTAATCCCTTGAACATTCAAGACAATCTCATTTTAGTTAAAATGTGTTCCTAAACATATGAAGAGGGCATTGAAGAGAGCATAAATAGCAAACCTGGGATTTGAGTAGAGATCAGGAAAACAATGGTTATAGTAACTTCAAGGAGGAAAAAGTTGAGAAAAGTCAGTAAGACAAATTCAGGGCATATTGGTTACTCATTTTATCATTTAAAATTCTCTCTTCTGGTCCAAATCAAGGGTTTTGAATTTAAAAGGTGAACAAGATTCCCTTGTAGTCTAACTGATTTCCTATAGTTTCCATGCAATATTAAGCACCAAAATATTTCACGGCCTTACTGAGAAAGTTGAAATCCTTTGCTTGGAAGACTACAAGTCATTAAAGTCCCTAAACAAGAGTAGGCTACTGGAATGCTGGATTAATGGACTGGGATTGAAAACTATGGATTGGTTCTGATCAACACAAGTGTTAGCTGGCTCACATCCCAAAAGTCATCCTGCTCATTTTCATTTCTGAGACTGGAACTGGTGGTAGTTTCATAACTCATTCATTAATTTCCTGAAAAATATTCTCATTTGAAGAAAAATAAGAAGTCCACTTCATCCAGTAGACAGGTAATAAAGGGCATGCAGAATGCCAGGAAAGGTGTCTGTTGGGCAGGTGGGCAGTGGGCTGACACAGCAATGTACATAAAAGTTATGCATACAATGGATGTGTTCCCATAAACCGTCATTTACATAGACAGACTGTGGGCATGATTTGGCCTGAGGATTGGAGTTTGTCAGCTCCTGAGCAGAGTGACCATTAACATCATTTTACTGTAAATATGTTTTGTACTTATAATTAGGTAATACATCATACAAAATACATTGAACAATGCACCAATTAAATACTCCTTAGAGGAAAAAACTAAAACCATTAAAAACACTTGATTAATAACCATGATGTAAAGGAAGAAGAAAGATATAAGACAAAAAAAAACTAGTAGATTTAATCCAAGACATACGTATTTGCATTAAAAGCAAATGCAACAAATGATGTGTTTTAAAGAAAAATTGGATGTGATTTAAAATTTTAAAACAACAAATTGTTTGAACAAGCCATGCTTTAATTGAAATATACTTGGCTTCTCTGAACACAAAAATATTGAAATTACTTAAATTGATCAGAAATGAAAGAGGGGACCATCATAGCTAATATCGCAGAAATTTAAAGAGCTATCCGTTAAGTTATAAAACTAGTTTTAAGGCTTATAAGCAATACAGTTTCTGGTACATGAATCCATATGTGTGTCTGTGTGAGTGTGTACAAATGGTAGTTTCTCTGAAAAACTGAAGTGTTCATATTGCTGTAGAGTAACAACTATGCAGTTTACTCAATTGATCACCTACCTCTACGCTTTGTATTTTATAGGGCAGATTTTTTATTTCAATATCCTTCTCAGTATATAAAGAAACAGTTTCATTCTTATATTTCACTTGGTAAATTACATGTTCAAAGCCCACTGAAGATTCCAGGGGTTCAATTCCATAAGTAGCATTTTCAAACTGCAGTAAGCCCCTATAAATTCCAAGAAAAGTATATAAATAAAATGCTGCACTTTAAAAAAGTTAGTTAAGAGCTACTTAGTTCTTTTTGTGGCATTCATATTATTATCATCCTTAGTGGGTACAGTAGGAAGTTACTGAGTATTTGCAAACTTACTAAGAGTTACAGAACAGTAATGTGATTGGTATTTGCCTAACTATATTTCATGATCTCTAAATATGAGAATGATCTTAATTCATTATAAGGGTAGGAGCCATTTTTAAAAATAATTTTCAAGTAAGGAATCCATTTTGCGATTCATACAATTATATATTACAACCTTAATCCAGTACATGCGCTAACCATCACCATAGAATTTGGATAACCTTCAACAAATCCTTGGTAGTAGCAGAAATTCTGAAAGATAAAATACATACAGATTTATTAGGAGATAGAGTTTTCAGATATTGTGTGTGTATATCAAATACTCAATATTTGCACAAGGGATTTATAAGATTATTAGATGAATGTAAGACTCAATTTCCCAAAACTTTTCCCCACAGGTTCATAAAGAATGTGTTAATTTTCACACTCTTTCATATTCTGTAAACTAAATTCGATTTTCTTGATCACTAGGACAAAGTGAAAATAATCAAAACCTCACTATCCACCTCCCCCCAAATTATTCTGGCATAATTCTGCCTGGGAGGAAAAACCAATATGAATCCAAAAAAGAAAGTCTTTTTACACAACTATTTTGATGGTTTCTTATTCAAGCTGTGTGTGTGTGTGTGTGTATGTGTGTGTGTGGCATTGAACCCAGGGCCTTGTGCATGCCAGACAAGCACTCTACCAACCGAGTCATATCTCCAAGCCCTATTTTTACACAACTATTTAGAGTGCAATGGCAGAATAGCTCACAGAGGTGTGACCCTCTCACAGATATCAATTATAAATACTGAAAAAAAAGTGTGTATATATTTTAAAAACTTCAGCTACAAAAGCAGACAGAAAAAGAGAGTACAATTGATACCAGAAAGAAGGCAACTGCGTTTGCTGAATTCTCATTTGGTGGGTTTCCTCCAGAAAGCACCCCCCCCCCCCGCAGGCAGAGCTGCAGAAAGCCTGACACCTCAACAGCAAACCCAGACCTTTAGCCTCAGGCTGAAGCCACAGTCTCAGAGTGCGGAACCCAGGGGCTGTGACCAAGAGAGGAGGGAGGAGGCGCAGAGCCAGGACCCCAGTGCGCACCGTTACCTCCTCGGGTGCAATCTCTACTTAACATCCAGACCGAGGATTCAGGAAAGAGGCTCCAGAGAGTCTAGAAGGAGCCAAGACCAGGAAAGCTGAAGAACAGAGAAAAGGGTTTGTCTATCTGCAAGTGCAGTGGAATAGTCAGGATCTGGTTCCCGCCAGGATATTTGCCTACTAGAACAAACTTGGAAACCCTTTAGAAAAAAAGTCACAAGGCTTAAGTGTGCCATTGAATGTGGCCAGTATATGATTTTAAAAGGTGCTAGATATTCAGATAAAAGGGAAAATGTAGTACAGAGTCAAGAGGAAAATCAGAAAGACAATTGACACTAAAATAACCCAAGAATAGGAATTAAAAAAAAAGACTTTAAAACAGATATTAAAAATGTGATGGAGAACATTAAAGAAAAATTGGACACAAAGGGGGATCCATTAGGAAATTCAGAGAAATATAGAGAGAGTATAAAAATCTAACTTGATGGCCAAGCACAGTGGCACACGCATGTAATCCCAGTGGCTTGGGAGGCTGAGACAGGAGGATTGGGAGTTCAAAGCCAGCCTCACCAAATGAGATGCTAAGCAACTCAGCCAGACCTTGTTTCTAAATAAAATACAAAATAGGGCTGGAGATGTGGCTCAGTGGTTGAGTGTCCCTGAGTTCACTCTCTAGTACACACCCCTCCCCCCAAAAAATACAACTCAAACAAAACATAGTTTAAATGAAATACACTGAGAAGGTTTCAAAAAGTGTAAAACAAAAATAAAAATAAAAATTAGAACTATAAAAGTTGCCAAATCCCAAATCTGAAGAAATGTGAGAGAAAGGAAGCTTTAAGAATGTCACAGAGGGTATGGCTGCAGAGGAGGTGGCAGTGGGGGAAATGATGGACAGGAGGGACCAAAAGAGCCAGCAGGCTGGAGCTGCCGGAGGACCTGAAGGAGACCTGTGAAGGTCAAGGCTGTGTATTCCAGGGTGGAGAGGAAAGTTCCAGTTGTAGTGTCCAGATGCCATCAGCAAAGGAAGAACCTGCAGACCCTCCCTCCACACCTACAAGGAAGTCCAAAGAGGGCTCGGCCAAACCACCCCATCACATGGGGGTCAAATCAGCCCAAAGAACTGTCCCAACTCCTGCTGCAGGAAGGCCTTCAGCACAGCAGCCTTGAGCCAAGACGAAGGCAGTGAACTAAGGAAATGCCTCTGAAGCAAAGACCAGGATGAGAGAGAGACTGGAAGGGAGACCCCCACATCCGACAGAGCACACTCCTGCAACAGGCAGGTCTGGCTCCAGGAGGGGAATGTAAGGCACTCAGCTCCCCAGCTCAGGCCACAGGTCTTTCCTGGTAGGAGAAGCAGGTTATAAAACAGAACCTTACTTCTTCCCAGATGCACTGAGTTCACTCACAACACAGCACAGAGAAGCCCAAGGGAATGTTCCAAAGTTGATGTGGGTTACCTCGGCAGCCTCCACAGGACTGGCTGGTCTGAGAGAGATTGATGGGCAGCAAATGGCTGGTCACTGATCTACAGAACTGTCCCTTCTGGACAGTCCAAGTTTAACTGGACAACAGAGCAACCCGCCAATACTTAGGAGAATTTAATATGCTAATGTGGCCAGGGCGAGGGCCGAAGAGAGCTTTGCCATTCCACTTCATCCCACCCTGACAGTTGGGTGTACCTAAGCTGGATCTTCCTAAAATCATACAGCCAGTTACCAAACAGATAATCAAGCAAGAAACAATTATAGGCCCCAAGGGATAGAGCAGTATTCAGATTGCCTATGATAAATCATCTAAAATGTCCCATTTCCAACGAAAAATCATAAGCCTGGCAAAGAAACAGGAAAGTATGACCTATAATTGAAAACAAAACAAAACAAAAAGCAGATAGCAGAAGCTCCCTGTGTGCTACACACTGAATATGTGTGCCTGCCCAAAATTAATCTGTAAAAATCCTGACCCCTATGTGTAGGCATCAGAAGAGAGTCCCTTTGGAATGTCTGATGCCTGACCAATGTCTGATGCCAATAACTGACCAATTGGCTCTTCTGTATATGTCTTTATTTTTCAAAACGATGTGCTTTTAGGGACGGATGCCATTTTCAAAATATATGAAAAAATTCAATAAAATCATCTGTTTTAAATCTAATTTAATGAACTTTACTTGGTTTTCTTTAGGGTAGAAATAGGCTTACAGCATAACATATCAATACAACAACATATATTCATGACATTCGAGACCAACATTCAACAACGTACCACATTTTGGTTATTATTAAGGCATTCCTTTTTAGTCTTTTTTTAACTGCATGCATATCTTTCTTTCATACCTCTTAAGGTATGCAGTGGAATTGGGTTTAGCAGAATACTATAAAATTCAAACGTGGGATATTGTGGCCCTGTGTAGCTCTTTGATGATTTTTCTCTTACACACACACACACAAACACATACACACCCCTGCACATATAAATATTTGTTTGCATATAACAGTACATATTATTTCTTTATTTACAACGACTCACTTGTATTTGCCTTCTCTGATGGCAAGTTTAAAAATGAAATTCAAAGCAAGGGCTAAGTCTATAATTTCTTCTGTTAAAATCTTAGCCTCTCTAAGGTGGACTCACTGTGTAGAAATTGGGAATGAAAATGGAAAACAACCACAAAGATGAGGACAACAACAGGTAGGGCAGACCAAAAGCAAAACAAAAAAGAGCATTTCAGGCTCCTTTATGCATGAACAAACCCTACAAATTCTACCCATTATTTTTCAATTACTTTCACCAAAAAAATTATAGACATCATTAAATGAAGCCCTGAGTGTTCCAAATATACGAAAATTCTATGTAGTTCCAAATATGCATGAAATTTTATGTGTCCTTAAGAAACAGAGGACTTTGTCATACTGAGAATAACCACTGATCAAACTTTGCCCTGGGGGGTGGACACCAAGGAAGCTGAAGGTGACAGGTTCTCTGGCTAAATCTGCATGTGTGTGCCACTTGGCTTTTTTCCACACATTGTCACCACCTCTGTAAGGCCCAAGGAGAACTGAGACAGCTGCTTCTCCCATTAATCCGACTGCGTTAAGTTCGTTTTCCCTTTTTACATTGTTTGCTTATTTCTTATTTAAGTAGGTGTCCCAATCCTGCCTGCTGGGATCCCGGCAGCTTCCCTGTCTTGGTTGCTGCAGAATGGATGGAGACATTTGCAAACCCTACAGCTGGTAAGGGGTTAATACTTAATATTTAAAATATATGAAGAACAGCAAGGACAGAAAGAAATATTTCTCAAAACAATATGTACAAATGGTCAACATGTATTTAAGAAAATATTTGGTCCCTGAACATTCTTCAGAGGACACTTTAGATTCTCCTTTTGTTCCAGATTTAGCTTCCCCTGATTCAAACCCTGGTCTTCATTCCAGGCATTTCACAATATATTCAACCCCTATTGCCACAGACACATGAGCACACACAGGAAACAAATGATTTAGAAACATGACAATGATATTTGACTTAGTAACCTTCTGTTTAATAGAGTTGAGAACACACTGTCAAAATGAAATGAATAGGTTCACATAAAAACAAAACATGACCTCCACCCTTTGTACTCTATGTGGACCCTAGATAACATGATCAGAGAAATTCATATCACAAAGGTACAACAGATAATGAAAATCATACCTGAAAATCTTTATCAAGAGGCTTCATGATTCCTGTACCATCATAACTATAAACTTTAAAATTATGAGGTAAAAATACTCTGTAAAAATAAAGATAAAAGGGTACTTAGTGGAAATTTTGTTTCCTAAACTTTCATTTTTAAAAAGATACTTACTATATTTATTATAAGTAGAGAGGTTGGCCGAAAAAGAGTTTTCGCGTTTGGATTTTCCACCTCCTTGTTAAGTTTTCCCAAATAGCCAGAGCAAAAAGGAGGTACTTGGAGGCATCAGATGACCTGATTTCAAAATATACTGCAAAGCTGTAATAATCAAAACAGCATGGAGACCAGTGGAACAGAAGAGATACCAGAGAAATCAATCCACTTATTTACAGTTAATTGATTTTTGGCAACATCACCAGGAACACACAATGGGAAGAGAATAGTCTCTTCCAAAAAATCACATATGGAAAATAATGTCCACCTACAGAAAAATGGAAGTGGATCCTCATCTCACAACACTAGAAGTGAACTGAAGACATCAATGTAAGACCTAAAACTAGAAGTTACTAGAAGAAAACATGGGAAAGCTTTGTGACGTTGGTCTGGGCAAAGTCTTTTTGGATATGACCAAAAAAGCCTAGGCAACAAAAGCGAAAACTAAAACTAGTGGACAGCACCAGACTAGGAGGCTTCTTCCCAGCAGGACAGTTAGTCAGCAGAGGGAGGAGACAACCTGCAGAATGGACGCAGACACTTGCAAACCCTACAGCTGGTAAGGGGTTAATACTTAATATTTAAAATATATGAAGAACAGCAAGAAAACAAATAACTCAATTTTAAAAATGGGAGAGGACAGAAATAAATATTTCTCAAAACAATATGTACAAATGGTCAACATGTATTTAAGAAAGTGCTTGCTATCACTAGCCCTCAGAGAAATGCAAATGAAAACCATCAGGATGCAACACCTTACACCTGTTAGAATGGCTGTTATCAAGGAGAAGAGAGATGCCGAATGTTGGTGGGATGAAATGAAGGAAGAACCCCTGTACAAGGTAGGTGGGAAGCAAATTAGGATCGTGGATATGGAAAAGAGAACAGGGGTTCCTCAAAAATTAAGAGTAGAACTATCATCTATTCTGGAAATCCCACTGCTGGGTATATTTGCAAGTGAGGTGAAATCATAAGTTGAAAAGACACCTGCATGTTGATTGCAGCAATAATCAAGCACACACTGGAAAACAATTAAGCCTTAAAAAAGAAAGAAAGAAATCTTGTTCTTTGGGAGACATGGATCAACCAGAAATATATTATGTTACATGAAATAAGCCAGGCACGGAAAGAAAGATATTGCATGATCTCACATATATGTGGGATGTAAAAGAGTCAAACTTATAAAAGTAGGCAGGAAAATGGTGGCTGCTAGGGGCCAGGGGTGAGTTTCAGTGAGGACAATAGGTTCAGAACACCTCTTACACAGCATTGTGACTAGAGTTAATAATGATGCTAATGAATACCTCGGATATCTTTTAAGATGCTGTAACCATGCACTTCCCAGGTTTGTCAGGATTGCCTTGATCAAGGTGATTGATTATTACCTGCTTTAAAGCCCTCAGAGATCGGGGTATAGTTGTGACGGGTGCAGGGTGGTGCCAGTTCTGCACATAGCCCAGGCGACAGTATGCGGTGAGCAACTTTTACATCCACCTGTTTACACAGGAGCTGTTGGCCAAGCCTCAGAAGGACTAGCTACCAAGGTATCCTGGTCAGGGCTGGCAGGACTGGCAGCAGACCAAGGCCAATGGCCACTGAAGACCTCATCACTCCACCTGGGGTGACCCAACTATACTCATTGGTCCCCCCCAACCCCTTCTCCAGCCCTGCACACTTGAGTCTCATCTGCTGCATGTCAAATGAAAAAACAGCAAAAGCTCTGCACTGTATTTTGATTATAGATTTGGTCATTCACATTTAGACTGTTTGATTTATAACATTCTATCTGTTGTCATATTATTGACATTTTTGCCATAATGCTTTGAATAATTTTTTTAATCCAAGAGTTATTTTGACAACTCCTACCAAATTTGCAAATAGCTGGTGCTTCTTTGATTAAGCATTAAATATTTGTAACTATATTCTAATTTTACTCATTGACAAGGTGGTTATTAAATGCCTTTTGATTGCTTGTGTGCAAGAAAAGAAATACATTTTTTTGCAAGTTGAATAGTAAAGGGTCATTTACAAATTCATCATGATATCACCATTAATTGTATCATATATTCTATATCCTTTTTCCAATCCAAAAAATAAATCTGCACAGACTGCATTTTTGCAGGTGTCAGGTACACCAGGGACTGAACTCAGGGGCATTCAACCACTGAACCACATCTCCAGCCCTATTTTGTATTTTATTTAGAGACAGGGTCTCAATGAGTTGCTTAATGCCTCACTTTTGCTGAGGCTGGCTTTGAACTCCCAATCTTTCTGCCTCCCAAGCCTTGGGATTATAGGCATGCACCACCATTATTGGCTCAAAGACTGCATTTTTTTTTTAAAGAGAGAGGGAGAGAGAGAGAGGGAGAGAGAATTTTTTAATATTTATGTTTTAGTTTTGGGCGGACACAACATCTTTGTTTGTATGTGGTGCTGAGGATCAAACCCAGGCCGCACGCATGCCAGGCGAGCGCACTACCGCTTGAGCCATATCCCCAGCCCAACAAAGACTGCATTTTAATTTAGATCTTCTTACATTTCTAACCCACTGTACTTCACCTACTTCCGTCTCTATTGAACACTTGTATGTATTGTACTGTGATGTGGAAAGTTATCCACAGGATGGTTTAGCTCTCACCACTGGCTCATTTGCAGGCCCATCACTGTTGGGGAGATTCTGTCTGGGGTTTCCCTGCACATTTATTGCAAAAACACTCAGTTTTTTTCCTTAGGAAGAAGTAATTTTGAGTCAGCTTTTTGTGTCTTCCTTCAGACTAGTTCTTTTTCTTCCTTTCATTATTTTTAGTAAACTCATTCTTATTGAAACAAGGACCATATCAATTTTGATTTTTCTTTTTTGCTCAGCATGCTATGCTTCATTTTTCCCAAATGTATTAACTGTCATGAGATTGAGTTTGGGTAATTACAATTGTAAGTGCTTAATACAGTGTGATAGGGTATATATGCTAATTTAAAAAAATTGTCATGATTCACAACATCCAAGAATCTGCTATGATCCTTCAACTTTAAGTTGGATAAAGGAACTAGAAAACAAACCATATTTATGTTTTCAGGAAATAATCAAAATTTGTCCTCCATGAAACCCCATGGGTAGCCCAAACCAAATTGGATGCCACCAGGAAGCATCACTACGGGGAAGATGGGAACAGCACTGTGGATTCCAATCCAGGTATTTGATACAGAGACTTAAGGTGTTTTTTAAAAGAACAACATAAGAGAAAAAGGAACACTCAGTAACATTTCCAAATGCAAAATAATTGCATTCTGGGTATTTACAAACAATAATTATAAATAGAACAAAGACAGTTGGTAACACCGTCACCTACTTTTGCGTTAGGTTCATAGTATATGTTTTCCCCTCAATTGTAATGTTGTAGGCCACCTGGTAGGAGAGCACATTTGAAAAGCAAAGAAAATGAGGGAAAAGAGGTTAGAAATAAAAACTAACATTTTTACATTAATGACAATCAAAAACATATTAATGCAATAAAAGTTAAAATCTAGAATTTGGTTTGATAAAATTTTAGCTTGGATAATAGAATATGATTGGTATAATTTCTTATTCATGAATTTTCAATTTATCCAATAACAGACTCATAACAAAACAGTGGATTTTATAGAATATATATATTTAATTTTTTTTAGTTGTAGATGGACACAATGCCTTTATTTTACTTATTTATTTTTTTGTGGTGCTTTTTATGATCAAATCCAGTGCCTCACACATGCTAGGCAAGTGCTCTATCACTGAGCCACAACCCCAGCCCTGAGAGTAGATTTTTTTAGTCCTATAATTGTGTTAGCTTAATATTGAGGCCACTATAAAACTATCTTTAAAATGGATAGGATATGCCTAAATTATTTAATAGAAAATTTATATATAGTAGAGCCAAGAATTAATTAATAACATGTAATATATAATAGTAATAAATTTCATAAAATTTGTTCATAGTTTGAATGCTAACTCAATCTATTTTATAAATAAGAGGATTAAGAAATGCTATCCAATGAAGGGACAATTAATTCTCTGCCAATTTGCAGACATCTTCATTATTGAACCTTTCAATAAACAAGCATGTAATACATCTCCAGTTATTAAAGTCTTATTTTCTCTTGTTTTATTGTCTTCAATGAGGTTTTGCTGACCTATGTAAGATTTGCATTTAGATTTTTATGTAGTATAAATTAAATCTTATTAAGAATTATGTTTTATATTTTTTGATTGCTGGGATAGAAATACTACTTGTTTCTGTATTTCAATTTCAATCACGTCTCCAAAAAATTTACTAAGTCAATGTATTATTTCCAATTTTTTTATAGATTTAGATTTTATTTCATGTATCACCATTTTGTCTGCAAATAATATGGCATTCTTTTCCCCTCCAATTATGCCTACTTATTTTTATTGTTTTCTTCCCTTCTTGCAATAGTTCCAAGACAATGATAAATAGAAAAAGTGACGATGGGCTTCCTTCCTTCTTGATTGCTAGAGGGAAGCTTCCAATATTTCGACTTTAAGTCTCTTTTAAAGGAAATTTTAACTTCTTTATAAGCCACTCTTATTATTTTCAGTCATGTATTTTAGGCATATAAGATTCAAAGAAAAGTATATAAAATATCATGTCATCAATGATAACATTGAAAAATAAAAAACTGCAAGTCTTTGAAAATAAGGATAAGCCTACTCAGTAGATTATATTTTCTTTTTTATACCCCAGATAACCAGCCTCCCAAATTTCATGTTTATTATTCTCATGCCTATTTTCATAACTGTATTAGTTATGGATGTGTGTCTAAATAGTGGTTAGTTTTGCAAAAAATTTTACCTTTACTTGAATTTTATCCTACAAGTTATATATTTTATCTGCTGCATGAAACACTGCCTCAGACATAATAAGCACTATAGCAAATATTGCCTGCCCTCACCATCACCCTTAGAACCTGTAGCTTTGTCATTTATTTCTCTATGGCATAAAACTTCATTTTCTGAATATACCACAGTTTATTCATCTATCTTCTTATTGGACATGTAGTTCTATTTGTTTTAAGCAATACTGCAACATGTGTATAACTGCCAGATATATGTTACTTATGAATGAACTTCTTTCGTTAAAAAAAGTGTTTTTACAATTTCACTCATAATTTAAAAAACAATCTTCAAATTTGTTGTGCCAATTTACATATTCACAAGAAGAAAATAAGATTTCCTTTTTATTTATATCTTCTAATCACATTTTTGTTTTCTTAGATTTAATGTTGGCCAGTGATGGATGTAAAATTGTGTCTTACTCCATTTATTTGGCAATTCTCTGCCAAATAAAATTTCTCAATTTTTTGATTACATTTGATGTTTGCTACCCCGTCAGGTTTAACACTTTCTTGCCATTCATAACTTTATACATGTTTCCATTTTGTTGTTTTTTTTTTCTTATTGATTTATAAAAGTTCTTGATCTGTTCTGGAAACTCTTATGTGCAGTAAGTGGACTGCAAAATATGAGTCTGTAATATTTTTCACTTTGTTTATGGTTATTATTGTTTTAATTTAAATCCAGGTATTCCTCAATCTTTTACTTAAGAATGCCTGCCTTTTTTCATTGTTCAATTCTTCCCTTATAAGGTCCTGAAATGTATATTCTATATTTTCTTCCAAATTCTTATTATTTTACTCTCATCTGTGCATTTACATGATCTAGAATCAATTCTGGTGTAGGAGGTGACACTACTGTACAGTTCATTATTATTTTGTGTTGCTAATCAACTGACCCCCATCATTTATTAAATTGAGCATTTTTGGTTTCGTTTTGATTTAAACAACTGAAATTTACTTTCTCACAGTTGAAGAGGCTAGAAGTCTGCAATCAGAGTGTGCAGAGGGTGGTTTCCTTTTGAAGGTCATGAGGGCAAGACCCATCCAGGCCTCTGTGCTGGCTTTGCAGATGGAGTCTTACGCCTGCACTCGGGTCAGTGCGCACATTCCCTCTTTCTCTCAGGGGCACCAGTTATGTTGGACTAGAACCCACTTTAATGAACTCATTTTAACGACCTCTCTCTCCAAGTAGGATCACATCATGAGGGGCTAGGGGTCAGGTCTTCAACAGATGGATTTTTTGGAGGGGAGGTGTCACAATTCAGCCACAGCATGCAGTAACTATCCTGACAGAATGGGACTCCATGCTGGATCTGACTGTGTACAGCTACCATCTATCTAGAAAACTTCAGCCACGCTGTTACCATTGCCCTTCATGAACTGAATGTATCTGGGGCGGGGGGTGGGGGGGAAGGAATTAAAATTAAAAACCAATTTGCTCCACTAATCTGAAGAAACTGTTCATTTTCTTGCAGGTGTTATGTGCAGTATAAACGTGTGTAAAGAATGTGTGGCTGGGGCGGTTACAGAACAGCAGGGAAGGGCCTGTGGGGGAATCACTCACTGGGACCTCAATTCCTGTGTCATGGCAAGCCTCCTGTTATCCCCCTTGAGTCCCTGAGTTGTCACGTTGGTGTTTCTCATAGGCCGTGCTCACCGTAGGTGCTCAGAAGAAAATCAGGTGTGATTGAACTCCAGAGTGAATGTGAAGGCACTCTTCTGTAAAGCAGGACAACTGGTGTGACCTGCCTGTGTCCATAGGCAAGGCCCAAAGGGCCAGGTAACTATTACTCCTATCCATTCCCTTGTAGATGCATCAACTTGAGACCAACATTTTGTTTCCTTCTTTCTAAGGAAAGTAGTATAATAGCCAACTCTGGCTAAGAGATTGAGCTCTACTGTGGTTTGTGTAGGCTGGGGATGTGGCCCAGCGGTTAAGTACCTCTGGGTTCAATTCCTGGTATCAAATGTTTAAAAAATTTTATTTAGAGACAGGGTCTCACTGAGTTGCTTGGGGACTAGCTAAATTGCAGTGGCTGGCTATGAACCTGTTATCCTCCTGCCTCAGCGTCCTGAACTTCTGGGAAGACAGGCATATGCCACCACACCTGGCTTGTATCACTCATTTAAAAAAAATGTGTCCTCCTTTCTCATACAGACACTTTTCCCTATCTAGTAACAGTTTTTATACCTTTGTTCTATGTTACTTTGAAGACCATTTTTTCTTTTTGCCTGAGAAAAGTATAGCTACACAAGCTGCTTATTTGTGTTGCAATTTTTTTTTTTTTTACTTTTGTGTCCAGCCTTTGTATTTCTTTATTATTCAGGTCTGACTTACGTCCAATCTGAGATGTCTCTGTTTTCTAATACATGTAATTAAAGATTTAATATTTAAATTTTACTTGGATTCCCTATTAAATTGATACTGATGTACACTTTCTACTCTTTTGATGGTTACTATTAAATCTCATGGTCAATGTGTTGTATTTTGAATTAAACATATTCCTCAGCTTTTTTTTTTGCAGCTTCTATGTTTATGTTATTGTTTGTCTGCTTTCATTTTCTACCTGCCAAAGTACATTATTATACCTATGTTCTCCTCTTTTAACCTGGAAACCATCAATAGATACTAATTTGTGAAGTCTACTTCACTTGAGTAAATGACAAGATTTTCTCATTCCCATTGCTGATTTTGAGACTTCTGCTGTTAGTTTATTTACTGTTTGGTTGTAGGTATCCTTCCTATTATTCATGACTGCCTTTAAGACATTTTCTTCCTTTTAGTATTCTGATATGTAAAGATGTCACTTGACCTTTACTTATTCTGCTTTGAGTTCGTGAAACTGGAGCTTGGGGCTCCACTTTTTGAAAATCGTTTCTTGGTTAATATCAACTCTCCTCCACACCTCCCCCTTTCCTTCAGGAATTCTCATGGTGCTACCTAAGCTTCTAATTCTATTGTCCTCTTCCATTAACCTCTTATATGTTACACCACTTATTCTCTTCAGCTATCTCTGATCTACTATTAGTTCCTGACTTTTATAGCTTCATATTGTATTTTTCACTTCTACAAGCTTCATTCAGTTATTTTAAAAAGTTTTTCTAGTGTCCAGCGTATATTCTCCTTTTATGCTCCTATATTCTTTATTATGATAATTTTAAACATACATTGTTTCATGCTATGTTTGTTGTAATATTGAATCAGTCAGTATGTGATAGCCTCTTTGATTCAAAAATACTATTATTTCCTTACTATACTCTATGCCATGAGAATGCAGATATTAACAAACCATTTTTGTCTTGAATTTTGACTGTTGAAGAGAAATATTTTTATTTTTCTTCTATTTCACTTGTTATAAATCATCCTCTTATAACAATCCAGTGATTTCCTGCTTGGAGATATTCCCCTCTAAACAGACTTCTTGTTTATTTTCTAAAATGAATAACATGCCCATAATATTTTTGCATTAATATACACTCCTAAAATTCTATAAGAGCTTCACTATTTTTCTCTACTTAAGTGATTTTAAAATTTCATAAACAGATATGCATTCATTTAAAAATAAAGAGTTATAAACTTAAAACTCTAGATTAAGTTGTTGAATGGAAACTTGCTAAGGGAATACCTAAATCATGAGAACATCCACTTCCCAACCAAACGAAAAAGTGAGGTTTCACAAAACATATTTGACTTCTCCAGAAATGATTCTAGAACTTACTTTAAAAAAAGGAGCTTTTAATTCAGATAAGATTGGGCATGTTAAAAAGCCTTTTATTTCAAAGGAGAAACAAGAATAATATAATCCTAAACTAAGATGAATGAAAGCAGTTTAAAAAATCTTAACCATTAACATATTTGCAATCAAAAGGGGAAAATCATCCATATAACATATATCATTAAATAAAATGATCGTTATCCCCCATCCCCATTTTTTTTCCTCCAAATATAGGCTGGTGGGTGGGTGAGAAGAGACCAGCAGATCAGGTCAGAGATACCTAGGGGGAAACATTTGGGGGGTGGGGCTCCAGGCTTTAACACCCCACATCACTGCACCATTATTTCTAGGAAACAATAATCTTGGCTCATTTTTAGAAAAGACTTTCCCACTCAAAAAAATTGAGTATAAATATAAAATTCAGTAAATGTGCATGAATGAAAAATGGCCAATTAACATCTTGGAAACAACATATTCGCATCATTTCAAATCGTGAACAATGTTAATAATTCATTACATGTGATTCAAATCCTCCGTTTTTAATTGACCGTATTTTCACTGGAACCATAACTTGCACGTGTAGTCTTTCATAATCTGCAAGGTGCAAAATGTCTTATTAGAGGATTGCCCCGCGCTGTACGGCTCCCTTCATTCTCTCACATCTAAATGCATCCTCTGCATTCTGTAGGCGACCTCTCAGTTTTACTATCTTTCCAATATTCTCACTTCTTTCTAGAAGGCAGGGTCTGGTAATTCTGGGGCAAAAGCCAAGCTCCCAGAACAAATACAACTCATACCCTTTGAGCCCCTAAATAGAGAGTTCAGAGTTGGGTCTCCACGATCACCATCACTAGAGCGCAGCAGGACCTGCAACCCCATTCTCCAGCCATCCTGGAGCGGGGCCGGGGTCCCTGTGGGCGTGGGAGAGCGCCCCGCTCCCTGGTGAGCTTTTGGGTCGTGGACAGCTGCAAGGCCCAGAGCGGGCATCGCGTAGGAAGGCGCTTTCCACGCATGTCTAGTGCACCCTGGGAGGCGAAGGGCGAGGGGAGCACGCGCGCCCGAAGGTCAGGAAAGGTCTGGGACTCACTGTGTTCTCTGTGGCGGGGGATGTACCCGCTGAGTCCACCCAGCCCGCCGAGAAGGAGGAGGACGCGCAACATGGCTAGCGATCCGGATCCCAGTCCCAATGTGGCCGTTGGCCAGCCACAGGGCAGTTGGGAGCGCGAGGTACACGGTCAGGCCTCGCACCCTGCGAGAAGGCAGGGACTGCGCCACGTGCGCGGAGCCCAGCGGCCCTGCTGTTGAACCTGGGCGGCCTTGGCCAGCGAGTCTCTCTCAAAAGAGGACCCCACTGGAATGACTCCTATTTGAAGCTAAGGAAAAAGAAGAAATAGGCGGGAGGGAGGGCCAGAGGGAGAGAGGCCACTGTTTTCCTTCTACCTTTTTGATTACTGGGGATTAAACCCGGGGATGCTTAAACACTGAGCCACAGCTCCCAGCCCTTTTTTTGTTCCGAGACAGTCTCTCTAAATTGCTTAGGGCCTCGCTAAATGGCTGAGGCTGGCTTTGACCTCAGTAATCCTCAGGCCTCTGCCTCCTGAGCCACTGGGATTACAGTCCTGCAGCCACACGCCAAGACAGCAGCAGATTCACTTCTAAGAGGCAGAGTGGGTGAAACAGCTAAGAAGAGACATATCGACTTCTTAAGTGAACTTTCAATTCTTAATAATAATGTTATATGATAATATATTATATGTTTATGTACAGTTCAATCATACGTGGACAGCTTGATTAATACTCAAGTGAACAAGTCAGTGTAATTATTACCTGGATCAAAATAGAGACCACCAAAGTCCCCAGTTGCCCCCTGACAATCATTACCTCAAAAATATTGTAGTTGCTCTTTACATTTGGGTTCCTTTAATAGGATGGTGGTGAGGCCCATCCATAGCAACATTTGTCTTTCCATTTTGCTGTTAGTGAACATTTGGTTTGTTTATAGTTCCAACTATTAAAAACAATATTTGGCTATAAAAATTCTTGCATATGCCTTTTATGTAGAAATTTCTCCCGGGCTTAATTCTAGAATGGATCACAGGATATGTCTCAGTAGACAATTCCGTAGTACTAATACGTACTCCCACCAGAAGTGTCTGAACATTCCAGTTCCTCCACATTGATGCCTACACTTTTTTCTCCTCGTATTTCGTGTATTTGTATTGGCCTGTAGAGTTTTCTGAATTTGGGGTTTAATTTGCATTTTCTTGTGGTTAATAAACTTGAGCACAATTTTATATGTCAATGAGAATTTATATAGCTTCTTTGGCAATTGCCTGCTTGAAACTTTGGTCCATTTTCTAATGGAGTTGCCTTATCTCTCTTTCATTTTTTTTTTTTTTTTTGTACTGGGGATTTAACCCAGGGGCAATTTACCACTGAGTCACATGCCTAGCCCTTTTTCATTTTTAATTTTGAGACAGGTTCTCACTAAGTTTCTTAGGGCTAAAATGCTGAGGCTGGCTTTGAAGTTGTAATCCTCCTGCCTTAGCCTCCCAAACCACTGGATTACCGTCATGTGCCACCATGCCAGGCACCTTATCTCTTTCTTATTATGTGTCTGTTTCTTTCATGTTTTTTAGTATTTGTAAATGGAGCTATTAAGACCTGGAGTTTTCTTTGTGACAGGGCTTTTTACTTATGGATCTGATTTCTTTAAAATACTACGATAACTTCTTTCCCCTGGTGTTAGTTTGAGAAAATTGTGTTTCTGAAGGAACCTGTACATTCTTGGGAGTTGTCCTTTCCACATGAATCAGTGAAAGTTGTTCAAAATGCCGTCCCCTCCTCGGTCATTCTTTTGCAACCTGTGGCATCTGCAGAGATGTCCTCCTTTTCACTCTCATTACTGATCATTTGTGGTTTTTTAAAAATTTGGGGTACAGTAGTTTATTAAATTATTAAATTTTGGAGTTTATTGTTTTTATTAACTTAAAAGGCCTCAAATGTGACTGTCCAGATTTTGTTCTATTATATATTTGTTTTCTGTTTTGTTGATTTTTGTTCTCATGTTCCTTTCTTTCTGGTTTACTTTTTCCTTTTTCTGGTTTCTGAAAAATGGAAATTTATATAATTAATTTAAAACTCTTCTGACATGTGCATTCAAAACTAGAAATTTCCTGGTGTTCACAACTTTAATTTCACCAACAAATTTTTATGTATCGTATCTTGTGTATTTTATTTTGACATACTGTATAATCATGAGTTCATCATATCCTAAGATTGAAAGAAATAGCCTTTCCTCCCAGCTAGTCTAACAGAATCCCCTTTTTGAGGCTATGTGTTTTGGAAACCTTGGATACAGCTAGTGTGACTGATCATAACTCCCTGGGCACAGCACCACAACCCCACTGGTACAAGGGTGCAGAAAAGAATATGGGGACTGCCACGACTATTATTAAAAAGCCTATTTCTTTTAGCAGAGGTCAGTTCGCTTGTTACTTATTCCTTTATAGTGATGATATAAAAACCAGCATTCTGTAATTAATTTTGAATACACTCCAAGCAAGCATAAATGAAATGGGTCTGAAAATCTTCCCTTTCTATCCCGGTTAATCCCTTTTGCTGCTAAAACCGCAGCAATTGACATATGGCCCAAAGCTCCCCAAAGAAGACCCAGAGACACAGCTGAGGGTATTTCTCACACAACCTGAGACCTTTTCCAGGCTAGCCTCACGCTGGGCTTTCAACCTTGCACCACTGGCTATATTTTTTGTGGCAATGTTATGGACTCGATTCATTGGACTCTTATTTACCAGAAGAGTAGAATTTCTGATGTACTTGAGGAACTTTTGATGGTTTATGGGGGCTAATGGATTGAATCTTTCAACCTGAGCTAACAGGGAAAACAGATTTTCCTGTTTAGTGTCTTCTTGTGAAGGGTGTTCTAAGATTCTTCTTTCCCCCATTTGGTCTCTCACAGATGAGCTTGGACAGAGTCACCTAGCAAAATGATGTCGTCTGGCTCCTACAGCTGTTCCCCGTGAGTCTTGCTCTGGAATCAACTGGAAATGTCACACTAACCTTCCCCCAGAACTCACTCCATGCCAAGCACTGGCCTGAAACTCTGTGTATATTACCATATTTAGTTCCAACAGTTCCCTATGGCCTAGGTACTATCAATGTTCTCTTTTTATAGGGGAGGAAACTGAGGCACAGGACCCCTTTCTCAAGGTACCCAGCAGACCAGATGTCTGACCCAGCTGGTCTGGCTTCAGATTTAGGAAGTAGATTTTTGGTAGAACTTAGCAGAGCTCGAGTTCAGGCTCTGCCCCAAACTGCCAAGTGACCCTGAGCAAGTTGTCTGCACCTGTTTCCCCCTCTGTTAAATGGGAAGGAGCCTTGGGAGGGATCAGAGGTGACATACGTAAGACCAGGCACGCTGGAGTAGTGAGCAGGTGATGCTGCTAGCATTCTGACTGCCCCTGCTGCCTTCACCCTCCCCCCCGCCCCACATTGCCTGGTCAACTTATGCTCATTATAATATGGAACTTGCCTGGGGAGATCCCTTCCTCTGGGGGCTTTACCTGCACAAAGTGCAGTGAGGAAAGTGTGCGTTTATCTGTGAATGCTGGCTGGGGTAGGAAGGACCCAGGACCCAGCCTGAGATTTAGTGGAGGGGACTGCAGCTGGGAGACTCCAGAAAAGAATGCACAATCAGAGTTGGAGCGTCAAGGAGAACCAGTGTGTGCAAGATTCAAGGACAGTGATATTGGAGGACAATTGGGATTAGCGTGATGGGCCTGGTGGGAGTGAGCAGGGGCCAGGCTTGATCCTGGAGGCAGCTGGGAGGATCCAAACTGCAGCGTTTAAGATCTGACCTGTTTTAGGAGGCTGCTGCTGTAGGGCTTTGGCATCCAAAATGGGAAACAGACAAGATGATTGCAGGAGACCAAATGAGTGTGACCTGGTGCCTAATGATGTGACAAGAGAAAGGAGAGGCTGGAGGGAAAGACAGGTCTACATCTGCACTGAGCCCTGCAGTGACAGCTGACGGAAGGGGTCTCTTTGCATTTAAACTAATTAAAATCAAATGAAATCTAAAATTTGCTTCCTTAGTCTCACGAGCACATTTTAAATACTCAAAGTGTGCATCACTACCTGAGAAAACTCTGCTATGGAAACGTTCAGCCAGCTCTGAAAGGCCAGCTGCTACAGACCGCTTGCATCCTTCCAGAAGGCTCCCATGGCCGGCACTGGTCTGGATGATGCAGCACCCTGGAGATCATGGCAAAGCCCAAGAGTGGAGGAAAAGCTTCCTTCGAATGCAGCTGTTTCTGATAATGAAAAAAGCAGCATTCTTCCAACTTTGGCCCACTCTCCCAAGAGCACAGAGAGAGCGGGAGCAAAGCCATCTTAGATTTATTGAGTAAAGGATCCCAATCTCTGCTGAAATACTTCAAAATGAACTGCAGACTTGGCTGCAAAACTATAAATTGGTCAGTCAACGTGACCAGGTGGGTACTGCATTCTGTCCCCACAGGGCACTAACCACCCTCAGAGATGAAGTGATGATGCATCGTACCCAGGGAATCTACGGGTGATTCCTCCTGGATTTAAAAATCACAGCATATTTGATTAACTTCATGTAAAGACCACTTTGGGGCAAATCCCTTGGAACAAAGCCACTGGTCTTGAGAGGTTCACAGGAGGCCACATCTGGATACAAACAGGGCTTCCCAGCAGATGGAGGGCTGCCGGCTACTGCCACAGGCTAAATCTTTGAAACCACTGGTGGGTTGCTGACATTAGCCTGCAGCCACTCAATGAGGATCTGATTCAACTCAGCGGGCCTGGAAGAGAAATGAAAGGCAATTCACACTCTGACCTCACTCTCCCGTGCCAAAGAGGTGCGGTGTAGGGTGAGTGGCCAATGAGGCAGAGCAGGACAGAAAGAAACCTGCAAGGCTTTTCGGGAAGATGAATGGAGA